CTGGTCTACAGGACACTTCCTTGTGCTGACCACCATTCACAAAAGGGCACCAAGCTTAATAATCAGTCACTTCTTAACCTAATGCAAAGCAATTGTCAGGGTAGCTTTTCAACAAGTTCTCTATGCATCTATTGCTTGGGGAATATGGATGATCATCATATGCCATGATGACACCTATGCTTTGCTGGGGATGGGAGCGTGTGATTGACAAAGGCTTATACATCCACATGATCAGTCACACTCCTGAGAGAACTGTCCCTTGAACTGATTTCAGACGTGTGTGGAGAGAGGAGGTTTCATATTTCATATCTTGGATTCTGTAGATTCCGAGAATGGAGGTCTTCCTGCTTTCTTCTCCTCTGTGTGCAAGAACATTCCATTTCTTTGCTGATACATGGTATCAGCCGAACTTGATCTTTGCTCCTGCTCTGGTTTTTGAATCTGGATGCTGCTGATGTTTCAAACACAAATTCTGGAATTAAGGAGCAGTTGATAGAGAATGGTTGACAATATTTACTGCTCCATTCATCTTGATTTAGAACAGCAACTCAGGAAATATAGAAAGGTGGGATTCGCACTGAACTTGATTTAACATAAATGTTTCAATCCAAAAGAGACAGACAATTGGATGCCCTGATTTAAGCCATTTCACTTCCCTCCCAAAGGTTCAAGTAAATCCCCAGTAAACATTTTGCAAAGAAAGACCCACATTTTACACTCCTGAAGCTAATATAAAATGAAATATTGCAACAAGTGTCCATATCATTCCATTAGCCTTCTTGCAGACTCTAGATGTCTTGTGCGCCACTCTTGAATGTAAAAGAACATTGACCTTGAAGGAACATGGCTAAGTCTTCTTTCCATAGCTGAATCTTCTTTCCCTGGGCATTGGGTTGCATGGGACAGAAACACTCCAAATTCCTATAAAATCCTTGGGGGTTTACAATCTAATACCTTCCAACTGCACAGGCATGTATTGGGAGAAAAAAAAAATCTTCTACGCATTTTGATTTCTTTTTGGCTCTAAGTGATAGATAGCTAGATAATTTGTTGAAAAACAGCCCCAACAATTGTTTTGTGTTTGGGTGAGAAGTGGTTAACAGAGTAATCTCACCCATCTTTAAAAAAACAAACAACCTCCCAAAAATCAGTAGCCACTGCTAGGGATCCCAAAAATTCCAAACTGACATAAATGTGTGTTGGCTAGTTCATAGAGTGAACCAGCCTTTTCCCCAAATTACAGTAGTACCTCGGTTTACGAACTCCTCGGTTAACATTCTTCTTGGTTTATGAATGAAAATCCATTGAAAATAATGCATGGTTTACTTTTTTCCCCAGAACGCATTGTGCCTGAAGGTTTATAGTGCCGCCCCCATTCCTGTGGCAATCTGCATTCTGCTTTACAAATTTTTCACTTTACATAATGTCCCGTAGAACGCATTGATTTTTGTAAACCGAGGTACTGCTGTACATTGGTTAGCTGCCATTCCCAGGAAGTGCCTTTTCCCCTGATACCTTGCAGAACTGATGCAGATGTACTGCTTTTCCTGCCAACCGTAGGGTGTTTCTGTACATTCCTTTAAAAGAAGTTGGGTTGTTGTTTTTTAAGCTAACAAGTTAAATGGTGTTAAACAGGTACCAAAAGAGCCCAGAGTAATGCCAGCTCTTTTCCTCCTCCTCCTCTTTCAGAATTTTTTTCTGAGCTTAGTGCTGCCGCCTGCACCCTCTCCTTGAACAGCAGTATGATTGAACTGGTACACTACACGCGCCATGGTTTGCAGTGGCTGAGACTGGAACCAAATACGTTATCTGTTATGAGCCACCTTGGGTCCCTATGGAGAGAAAGATGGCAAACAAACAAACAGTGAGATAAAGCATCATCTGATCACATCCTGCCAGTTTGTCTTTCTCTCTACTCCCTATCCGATCTGTCCTTTTCCATCTTCCATGGAATATATCCACAAGGTTCAATATGTGTGCTTAAGAACTCAGAATTTTCCCCCTTACAGCTCCAGCATCACACAGCTCCATTCAGATCACTATACCCAGAACAGATGCAACATAATTTTGAAATGATTGTCATGAAATATTTTTAAAACTATTTAAAAGCCTGGTAAATCAAAGCAAACCACTGTTTAAGACAGCCTGCGTTGCCTTCTAAACAACATACAGTAGTCAGAATCCAGTCCCTAATCCCACATATTTGATGCAATGAGAGATTACCTTTGCCAAAGCGGGTGGTGCAATGTAGTATGCATGAGAGAAATTATTCTCATATACTTAAAAGCCACTTGAAGTTGAGGCTCGTAAGGTCAGTAGCGCATCTGATGGCCTTTCTGCTACAAAACACTTAAAAAGAAACAATGTTATTTGAAATTCACTTAGCAGATGGGGGGGGAGGTCTGGATTATAGCCTCCAGCTTCCACCAGGCTTTGCCCAGTCCAGAGCCATGACATTTGGAAATGCTCACGTTCAGAAAAGGTTAATGGACGGTGGAGGGAAGGATGAGAAAGAGGGGACTGTAGCAGCCTATGAAAGGCTCTTGTGCTAATTTTGGCTCTAATACCATGACCTTACCTGGCACCCTTTTCCAGGCAAGGCGTTAGCCATGTCCAAAGATTTTCGTGGCTGATTAAAATTGAACAGCTTCTTGCAGCAAGTGGGCGATCCTTGTTGCTTAAGGTGGGGCAGGGGGAGGGGAAAATTTTTCTTCTGATGCACTTAGCAAATAAATAGCTTCCGCATCCACTGCCAGTATTTTGTCCTGCTTTGTATGTACAAGATGAAGGCAAGCAGAAATGCTGACAAACTTGGATTGTGGAGTTAACTTTGGAAATGGAGGGCAGGCTGGAGGATCACTTTCTTGTGCGAGCACCTAATTCATTCACACTTGCTGGCTGAGGTCAGTGCCACATGCACAGCAGTGTTCCTAGATAACAGTCTAACGCCTCCAGTAACCCTAGGGTTCAAATTATGTCAACTGATGGAGTCAGTCCTCTGAAGATGCCGGCCACAGAGACTGGCGAAACGTCAGGAAGAGCAACCTTCAGAACACGGCCAAAAAACCCACAACAACCATTAGATCCTGGCCGTGAAAGCCTTCGCTAATATAATGAAGATCTTTGTTAGTATTGCAGAGCGGAACTGGGAGGCAGATATATGTGTTCTTCAGTATCTTCAGCTTTGTCAATATCAGTGGCCATGTGAACAGTATCTCATCTGTGAGATGAACTACACTCCTACCTACATGATGGGGAGCAACACTGATGGTGATGTGGGAAATCACAATAGTTATGGTCTTGCACAGAATACAAAGACGGGGAGTGTCTAGAGTATTAGTAGGTAGGGGAGAACTCCCTCAGTCTCCGCCTCAATTGATACAGATGACAGAATGTGGATTAATTGTAAACTGTAGCGGTTTTAAAATATATGTATTTTTACAATAAATTATATGCTTCTTTGCAGCCACTTATTTTCTACAGTAGAAGTATTGCAGATAATTAAGATGATGGGAATTCTGGCACTGATTTGTATACACTTTTGACATCAAAATAAAAAGTCACTGGCATAAATGCATACAACATTGCCATGGTCTTCAGCCTGCACTGCTGACTTAGGCTCTCGGCATCATTGGATGATTATTCATGTTAAATGTAGTAACCAAATGCTTAGAAATCAGATACAGTGGTGCCCCGCATAGCGAGGTTAATCTGTTCCGGATTAATGTTCGCTATGCGAAAACATCGCTGTACGGGGCAGGAAAAGCCTATTGGAACGCATTAAACTTAGTTTAATGCGTTCCAATAGGCGCCAAAACTTACCCCTCCAGCGATGTTTTCGCGGTCCGGTGGCCATTTTGGAGCCGCCGATCAGCTGTTTGGCGGCTCCAAAATGACCGCCGGATGACCCGAAATGGCCCCCTGTCAGTGTTTTCGCGCCCTCCCCTTGCTTACCGTATAGCGATCCCTTCCCAAAAAGGGATCGCTATACGGATTCTTCGTTATACGGTGCGCTCGTTAAGCAAGGCACCACTGTACATTCTTTGCTGGAAGCACAAACAGAAGAGACTCTGCCAGCAGCAATAGATTTCCAAAGCAGCCTTTGTCTAGACTCAAGCAGGCTGCCATTTTCAAGGAAATAAGAAGGGCAGGAGGCTCAATCCCGGGTTTCAGCATGGTACATTGGTAGGAATTCAGTGGAACTGTCTTCATTGTGGAAGGGACTGTCACTCTTGAATTGGCCTTTTCAGCCACACTAGACGCTGTGCCAAGTCCTCCATACAGAGCACATTATCATAGTCTCTCGAGACTGAAGGATGCCTAATCTAATTAGTAGGAATTTATACTGCTTCTCATCTGTCCATCATTGCATACAGTATAGAGCAAAGTGTGGAAAAGTTAACCTTTCTTAAGCTTTGGTGAGATTCTGATGATGGCAAAGGGGACAAAATACAGTGAAATGTAGTTTCAGTTTTCTCAGGTTGTTTGTTTCCAGCTCCATGGGTCATATTTCTCAGTTCCTCAACATGATTATTACTCCTTCCTCTCTTTATCCTGCAGAGCTTTCATTTCTATATCAGAGTCTCCATCTTTACATGCTGATTTCAGTCCTGAAATCTAACCATATGATACCCCTACCTCTCAAACTGTGATTGCCCTCAGCAACTCTCCTGTAACTAGGCTTTACTAAGGCCTCCATTTGTGCAAATAAAAGCTTGAGAGGTTGGGAGTGCAATTCCCTACTGTGTCTCCTGTGTATAGAGCCAGCCTGTGTGGCCTTGGGCAACCTGCACGGTCTCAGGGAGCCCTTAGAATAAGGGAATGGTAAGCCACTTTTGTGTTTTCTCTATGTAGAAATTCCTGGAAAGGGACACCATAAGTCAGAATTGACTTGATGGCATGCAAAAATACCAATTAATATTGTTGTTGTTAGCTACTGTAAGTTAAATCATGACAATTTTGAGAAAAGGTAAACTATTTATTCAACAGGATAAGTCCACACCCATCCACTGGTTTGATCTACATGGCATGATCAGCATACATAACAAAGGACCCAATCAGACACTCTAACTGAATGGCATTTTATCATACTTTACAGAGACAATATCCATAAGAAGGACAAGAATCATTATACAGGGCAGCCAACCAGCAGTTTTTCTAAAGTTTTCCGGCAAGAACAAAAAGCAGCCACTCAGAAGCAAATTGAATTCAGGAGGCCTATTGCCATACTATGAAAACTGCAGCACGGCTAGGAAATTATAAAGTCCATGTTTTGAGGAGAGGGGGGACAGGGGAGGGAAAGGTATTGTTTAGTCTACGAATGGAAAAGTGCATGGTCCTTATATCATTAAAAGGTCTTAAAAGTTTATGCTGTTTGCTTATGATGGTTTCTATACAACAATAATATAAAGGGGGGGTGCAATTGCTTTTAAGTCAGCACCATTACACACATCACTTGGTTGAACAAAGGGAGTATCCGCACCAAATTACAGGGTAAGAGAGGAGGCTGCAACATTTACAGTCAGCCATCTCTGGGTGTTCGCTAAAGTAGCTTCAGCTGAGCAAGAACTGCAATTTTATGGGAAGGGTCAGAGGTCAGTTCACTGAAGTTTCATGTGCTCTGCATCAATGAAAATCCAGTCTTTCCCTTTGGGTTTACACCATCTTACAATACTGTGCTGATGGCACTTGAACTCTCCATTTCTGCACAGATCAGTAATGAGAAAGGAAGTCTTCATTGTTTGAAACGTTGGTTTTATTGGTTAACTATGGCCCTTTTAACTTTAAAAAAAAGTGCCTCATATTTCTTTCAATTTCATAAGATTCAATTTAAATATTAGAAGGAATACTCTGGTCAAATCAGGATAGATACCATGATTGCTGATTCTAGGATTAGCAGCAAGAGAGAACTGGTAATGTAAGTGCACGACTAAGGTTTTATCCCCCTACACCAAAAGAGAGTTGACATACCCATCCATTATTTTTCTTTGTATTTGCTACTTTTATGCATTGGCCATTGTCCTTTGAAATCTTTATGTTGGGCCAAAAGAGGCCCAGTTGTGCTTAAGAATACAGAGATGAATCCATTAGGAATTCCTCTGGTCCGAGACACCCAGGAAATGGCACTTTAATGGAACAAGATGAAAAGAACAGATCACTGGTAGATTGCACCCAAAATCTACATAGGTGAACTTGATAGAAATGTACAAACATTACTTAAGATAATGTTTTGATGATTCAACAGCACAGGTTGCAAGTGTTTTGACTTCGTACTACCAAAAAAATGCAGAAGAAAATCTACAATTCATAGTAGTCACTGACAATTGGAGAACAATGCATGAAGTAGGTAGTTATTCCTCAAAATTCAAATACATTTCTTGCTCATAAACCAAAAGAAAGGAAAGGAAAGGAAAACTTCAAAGCAATACACCCATAGCATAACACTGACTGTACAAGAGTTATCTCAGTATGAACAGCTCCCCGGCACATTTAATCCAAGTATTTGTTCTGGTGCTCAAAAGGCACTTTAAGATTTTTTTTAAAAAAAAAGAACTTCAACAACACAACCCACTGATAAGAAATGAAAAAGTACAAACAAAAATAATTTAATTTAAAAAGGCATTGGAATTGTGTTATATATTTAAGGGAACAAAAGTTAAACCCTCAAATGAACTCATGGTTCTGCTCTCAAGTCATTTTCAAAAGTTGTGCACACACAAACACGCACGCACGACGCACGACGCACGCGCGCGCACACACATACACACACATTGTCAAGGAAATTGTTCTCCAAGAACAAAAGTGGGGTACAACATTTTGCCATATGGATTTCTCTAGCCACCCATGCCCCATGCCTACAACTACATTTGATAGCTCATTACGACAGCAAACTGGGCATCTGCTGTGATAATGATCCATGGATGACTCTAAAGCGAAGAACAGCATGGGAAGGCAGCAGAGGAAAGGAAATTAAATTCATTTCGTTTATGAAAAAGCTCCACTATTAACTAATTGTGGCAATTACAACAAATGCCTACAACATTAGCAAACATGTAGGTAAACACAGATTCTCTCTGTAATATTATATTGAGGAACAATTATAGAATAGCTACATACATTATTTATCCTTCACACTATACATGGGAAGGTCAGGTCAGGATTGTTTTGTGGGACACGGTAGGTTGCTTCCATTTTTATTGATGAATTTCTGTTACACTGACTTATGCAATAAGTGCAAAGATTTCATTTCACCAGGTCTCAAATAAAATTTAGCCATTAAAAAAAAACAGGTTACATTTTAGCAGTTACTTTCTAGCAATTAAGCAGGTACGGCAATATATAAACAGGCTAGAACAGGCAAGGGGCCATGAAGAGAAGACGTTATATGGAATGAAACATGCTTGTAAATGAGGTATAGAAAAGGAGAATAACACAATGATTGTATGTGTTAATTTCACGGTGAAAAACATTGTCTTATACAATGTATATCTATTCTATGCAATGTATATACAGAGGAGGGGTTAGGGATGTATTTGTTAAAACAAAGGAAGAGAAAGACGGTACATTGCTAAATGGCCTGGTGCCCCATTCCCTGCTTTGATTATTTACTTATTCATTTTTGGCCAACAGCGGGCCATGAATTAAGAGCATGGAAAGCCACATCCAAGGTCATTTTAATACATTACAAGCTGCTAAAATAAGACCGATATAATTAAAACGAGCCTCTAATAAGGAAAGAAAATAATGGCAGCCTCTGAAAAATTAAGAAATATACATGGGGGTGGGGGGAAGAAGGTGCAGATTTAACTAAGTTCAAATGAGATCTATCAAAAAGGCATTTCATGTAAAAATAAATGTGCAGTGGTATTTAAAGTAAAAAATAAAAGTGAGCCCAGTAGATGGGCCCATGTTGCAAACATCTGTCTGTCAACAGACAAATATTTTATAAAAAAATAGCAGCATGAAGTTCAATGAGTAAAGATGTAGCTGTCATGCAAACCCCAGCTCTCACTGCATAGGTTTTTTTTGCCTACATTAAATTTTAGAGAGAAAGAAATATAACTTTATTTTCATAAATTCAGAACTGTTGTATATTGTTATATAGTACAGTACAGAAAGTGCAAATTGTAACCCCATCAGATCAGCTATACGACTGACACGGTCAAATATGGCTCATGCTTATTCATGCAAGGGAACACAGTCTGAGTAAAGTCATGGACTGTTGAGTTATTTGACAGGGAATGTGATTTTACTAATAGCTTCCTTGCCTGTTTTAATCCAGATTTTTTTTTCCAAAGTAATCATTAGCAAAAAGAGAGGATGGGGAATAAAATATTTCAAACACTATATAAGTTACCCTATTTATTTATTGTTATTGACCACAGGTTACTTCAGAGTCCTCTTCTGTTTTGAAAACAGCAGGCGCTGAGTTTCTTTTGTACACACATAACACTGAGATACAGCATAAAGTACGTACAGAAAATCCTTGGTTTCCCTTTCACACAAAAGGAAAATGTACCGCTCTTCATCCCCTGTGTCCATAGGTGGTACACCTCTCCAACCAGAAAATAGCCACAAGCTTCCATGTCTCAATGAAGCAGTCTTTGAAGAGATGGTTCTGAAGACAACTATCCATCCATCTGGAGGACATGATCGTATCTGCAGGACTATGAAAGATGCTTTCTTTTGTTTGCAGGGATAAATCCAGACCAAACTGTGTGAAAACTCAATCCAAGAACTGACCAATTGTCTATTGCCTACTGCACAGTTGCTGTGTAATCCACACACGCGCACACACACACACACAAATGCTCTCTAGAAGAAGTCTAAGGGTGAGTTTCTGAGGTAAATCTACTAAAATGTTATTGAACTATGTACAGTTTCATATATACTTCTACAGAGACTTGAATTCCAGTGGTAATGCACATAAAATGGCCATCTTATTTGGCTGTACCAAATATTTCCAGCAATCTTGAGACGAATGTGTGTAAATGTCATGAAATCCCTAAGCCACATCTACCAGCCCCTTGTTTTTTCTACAAGAGTCATTTTCTTTGTCTTTTTGTCTTAATGACATCACTTGCACAATCATAGTTTTTGACTCAAAATAAATGAAAACTGAGATGAGTTACCCATTTTTCCCCCAACAGAGATTTCCTTGGAATGGTCGTCAGAGCTACATAGTGCCAGATTTGTCTGAGGAGCTGTTAGGGAAGATCTTCTCTGTGGGCGTCACTGCAGGACTACCCATTCCTGAGCTGCTACTGCTACTTGATCTGTGTTGGACAACCGGTCTGATGGGTCGCATGGGTGGCGGCCTAAGCTGAGCTCCAGCGAGCCTGGCTGACAGGGCTGGTTTGAAAGTAGTCATCATTTCAGTGGTTGAGCTGCTACTACGTCTCATGGCAGCATCAGGATCTCTAATCATGATAGTATGAAGGGGGCTGGCAGGTTCAGAGTTGACAGATCCTATCTGTGGGTTCTTCATGGGTTCAAGGGTATCCAGGACTACATCAGGGGCTTGTTTCACAGTATTTTGCCTCTCAAGTTCACGAAGCTCATTCAGTGCTGTGCTCATAGTCTTTTCAATATCCTGTAGATAAAATAAAAATATAATCAGAATTTTTTAAAATAAATCCTGCACTGGTTGATCTAAATGTGTTCATATCCCATTTTCTGGTGTCACTAATTTGCCTGCCCTAATCAGTGACTTGGATTAGAGGAACTGGCAAACCAAAGAAGTGGGGAACTCACTGCCTTGTTGTGCATCAGCTGATTGCACTGGGACTGGTTAAGTACGCAACAGAGACCTTTGCTCTACGGATTGCTTATCATGTCCTTTGAACACAAATGTTCTCTCTTCTATGATTTTTTTCTTCTCAACCAATCAGAAAAATTTGATTTCTGGCTTGTCAGTAGAAAAACATCACAAAACAGAAAGCATCTGCTTTCAGATGATATGACAAATAGAAACCACAGATTAAAATTCTGTCCTTTTCAGCAAGAGACACAATCAGGCAGTAGGCACTGGAATGTTTCTTCCAATCAATTCAGCCAGGCTTCCCATGGAGCACAGGTTTACTGTATCATCCTGACTGATCCAAAGGATTGGATCTATAGAACTATGAGTGGAACTTTTACCTATGCGTTCTCATAAATTCCCTAAGTGCAAGAGTTTGCCCAGCGGTTTTTTAAGCACAGTGGTGCCTCGCTTAGCGATTGCTTTGTTTAACGATGTATTCGCTTAGCGATGGGTTTTTTTGAGGAATTTTCCGCATCGTTTAACGATGTTCTCTATGGGCGATTTTCACTTAACGATGTCCGTTTTTGCTCATTTAAAAGTGTCTTAAAATGTTTGAAACCTGTTTTAAATGCTTGGATCCGTTAGTGCATCTTGTAAAACATTTGCAAATTTAATTTGGCTTTTTTCTGAGTCTTCGTTAATTTTTGGTGAATTCCCCCCCCATTGGAATACCAATGGGGGGGGGGGAAATTCACCAAAAATTAACGAAGACTCAGAACAAAGCCAAATTAAGTTTGCAAAGGTTTCACAAGGTGCACTAAAAATTCCAAGCATTTAAAACAGGTTTCAAACATGTTAAGACACTTTTAAATGAGCGAAAACGGACATCGCAAAGCCATTGAAATGCATTGAATAGGCTTCAATGCATTCCAATGGGGGAAACATTGTTTCGCTTAGCGATGTTTCCTATGGCGATTTTCGCTTAAGGACGATAATCCGTTCCCACTGGAACGGATTAACCGGCTTTCAATGCATTCCTATGGGAAATGGTGTTTCGCTTAGCGATGTTTTCCCATAGCGATTTTTTTTGAACCAATTAACATTGTTAAGCAAGGCACCACTGTATATTCTATAACAGTTGTCACACTTCATCTTGCCCTAAAACTATGCAAGAACATCTTTGAATAATGTTTTTTCCTTGTGCACCATTCTAGCTTGACATACTAACAAAATACACACACACATACACATACACACACAGAGAGATATGAAGAGTTCAATGAGCAGAAGACATTTACAAATGGTGAAGGACCCCTCTTACAGACAAGACACAGGAGAAGAGATAGGCCACCTAGTGTTCTCCAGTTGTTTTGTACTAGAAGTCCCAGAAGACACAGGCAGTTCGCCACAGAGACTGTGAGAGCTGTAATCCAAAATATCTGTAAAATGGCAAGCTGCCTACATTGATTTCATTTCCCACAGCATGGAACATTTTAAAAGATGCTCAAAGCAACATAACTATAAACACCTTTTAAAAAATTACAAATTAAAGAAATTGAAACACAAGAGAGAAATTCACAAATCCCCGCTAATGTAATGGGCCTAATCTGGTTGTGACTTAGTACCAAATTTCAGCTCTTGTCTGTTGTGTACTGAGTAGTCGGACTCAGTACCCAGGGATTTCTGACCCCAAAGGTTATGCTGTGTCCAAAGGTACACAAGAAGACTTGGGCCAGGTTTTCCATTTACTGTCTTCTATCAAGTCCAAGTTCAGGAAGACTCCCTGGAAAAGACCCTGATGTCGGGAAAAGTGTGAAGGCAAGAGGAGAAGGGGACGACAGAGGATGAGATGATTGGACAGTGTCACCAGAGCTACCAACATGAATTTGACCCAACTCTGGGAGGCAGTGGAAGACAGGAGGACCTGGTGTGCTCTGGTCCATGGGGTCACGAAGAGTCGCACATGACTAAACGATTAAACAACAACAAATCAAGTTCATGGTATTTCTGCAAAGATGGTTCTGGTATTATTAAACTCCAATTGTTTATTATTAGTTATTTTCATTTTTGCCAAACTAATAGATTTAGGGTCGTATGCAGAAAAGTATAATTGTTTATAATTATTTACACAAACAAACAAATAGAATAACACAACAACTATGTTATGCTGATGCAATAGTTGAGATGATAGTTTCACAGTTCTTTGTTTCTTTTTTTATTAAAATGCCCATTGAATGTATTGAAGGGAAGGAAACAGGCTCGTGAGGAAGGCAACAAGATCTTGTAACACAGGCGAAAGGAGGCATCAAAATACTGCCAAGAAAGCATTCCTTTATCACTGCATCTAGCAGTGCAACACACTAATAAAAAATCCCCACTCTGTTTTATACTTTAGTTAATTGATCCTAAACTTTCAACTCTCCCAACTGGATGGGGGTGATAAAAAAATATTCCAAATATATTTGCATCTATTTCACCTCAGTTACTAAATCGAAGGCTTCATCTCTTGCACAAACTTGCACTGGGAGTTCTTCAGGCCCCTTCTCTGCAACCCTTTATGAAAGTTCTGAGGACTCACTAGCCAGTGTGATGTCACAGCATTAAGACTGGGACTCTGGAGGCCTGGATTCAAATTCCCACTTAGTCATGAAACTCCCTGGGCCAGCTTTTAAAGGAATCATGGTCGCATACATGTGTAAGGGTCCTTTAAAAAAATATTCTGCTTCTGCCACACTGATGGTATTGCCCAACAGATTAAACCACCAGGTTAAAGAACTACATTAAGAACTACATTTTCTCTTTATAAAACATTCACATTTTAAAAAGGTGAGGACTAGGCTCATGAAACGGTTATCCTCGGGGATTGAAACAACTCTGCAGCCATAGGACTACTGCATATATCAACTGTCTCTTAATAGAATTTTTATTATGGTCGTTCATCTTCCACTTCAGGCACCAGAGACACTGGATGGATAAAAATATGACCCAACTCTTATTATCCTAGTAACAGGGGGGAAAAAAGCTCAAGAGAAGTCACATTCTCCACATGTTTGCACTCTTAAGCGTCGGAATGAAAGGGGTGGGGGACAGAAATGAGAGGAAATGTAGGTTTTCTTAAATGTCATGATGATTGCTGGTACATCTTTTACCATGGATATAGCTTGTAACTCATGATTCTTAATAAAATGGATTTTTTTAAAAAAAACATATTTATATCTAAGGTCTAGACTCATTTGCAAGTAAACCATCTCTGCCTCATTAACAGGAGAGTGAAATATGAAAGACACAGGTCAACATAAAGAAAGATGCAGCTCTGGCAGTTAACTCTTGACAGCTATGAATAATGTATTTGATAAGATCCAGCAGAAAAAAAACTGACCTATACACTATTCAAAAAGAAAAAGAAAAACCTTGATTTTTTCAGTGCATTGCTAACAGGCAAACTTTAGCATGAGAGTGATGGTGCCTCTGTACATGTACACATGCATACACACACACACACACACACACACACATGCATGCATGTGCACATGCACCCATGTTCACACACAGGCTGATGGCCGAAACACTTCATCGAGAGAAAGAACATAAACTGCCATATTTGATTTGCTATGGGGTAGAAAAAGTGTTATTGGACAGAAGCAGAACCTCCCATTTACGTAAATCTCCACTAATGTATTTCTATTAAATTCTTATTAATTTCTCATTCTAATTTTTTTTTGTTTCAGTAAAATCCCAGAACAGGCATAATCCAAATTTCTACAGAATTTTGGGGAAGGCTCTTTGTTCAACAAGGGACCAGTGGCAGCTTCATACTGAAAATAAAACCCCCCAGAGTTCAACAGAACCTTTATTTCTGAATATGGAACACTGCAGCCTCAGTACTATATAGGAAATAAAACGCCAAGTCATGCCCCTGGCACTTTAGGACTCTTTGAGACAGACCATTTTTCTCTCCTTAATGTACCATGTTCTGTACTACTGCTATCAGTAATTTCCCCCCATTATTGCCCTTATCTCGCTTTGCACAGTGCTCTTTCCCCTGGACCTTCTGCTCCTTTTCAAAACTTATGAGTCTTGTTTATTTAAGTTCTGCTTCAGAATAAAGTTCAGCATCCCCTACTTTCAGTCAATGTATCTTAGGGACAGCACCAGTCCAAGCTTTTGATTCACACTCCAAACCAACCAACCAATCCAGGAATTAATCTCCGGAAAGGAAGTGAATTTCTTGACAGAAGCAGATTTCTCAAGGAAAATAGAAGCTGCATTCTAAAGAGATGCTTTTGTGCAAATCCTAGCAACTCCCCAGCTTTTTCAGCATCAGGAAAAGCTCTTGGCATGGAACAAACACTCTCTCTGGGAGAAGCTTCATCCACTGCAGAGCCCACTCTGATCTTTTTTAAATCCACATTTTGCTATCATTGGCCTTTTTTAAAAGAAAAAAACTGAACATGAACCTAAGACAGCCTACTCTTCTTACCTTTTAACACAGAATTGGCGGATTTTGTAAAAATTATTCTGTTAGCTGCATCTGAATGAGCAATTGTGAGTTTTCATACTCCTTGCCAATATGCTTTGATGTAACACATCTCTTTCTGATTGTTCATACTTGCCCTTACTTCAGCCTTTCGCCTTCCACAAGTTCAACACTTCCCTCTTGGTAAAAACAGGCTCACAGAAAGGGTGGATCTAGAATCTGACAGCCTAGAAGTCTTATCCAGAGTTCAAGAACATTATTTTTTTTTCACACCAGCCTTCTATCCTTCCGAGGTCGGTAAAATGAGTACCCAGCTCACTGGGGGGGGGCAATGTATAGCCTGCATAATTAACTTGTAAACTGCCCAGAGAGTGCTTTATGATGCCCAGAATCTCCCCAGTGCTGATTAGCAAATTCTTGAAGCTGTACTGCAAAAAAAGGTAAGTTTCCAATCTCTGGTCACTCCACCCTACTTTGTTTTCATGATAAAGGATAGGAGGCTACAGTATCCATTAAAAGGAGTTTCTCTTTCCTCTAGCTTTCCCCCAATCTCCTTTGGTTGTTTTGAAATTTCCAGTGTATTTCCTTCTGCACTGGCTTCTGTGCCCATTTGAGAAGAATAGTCAAACCAAATTAATAATAATTAAAGGGGGGGTAATTCTTAAAAATCTGTAGGGCACTGATTTCAATTCCTGCATTGAGCAGGGAGTTGGACTCAGTGGCCTTCAAGCCCCCTTCCAACGCCACTGTTCTATCATTCAATGAGACAAAGAGCCCCCATTGGTATACAAAGAAATGAGAATGTTTTGTTTCATCCACTGCTGTTCACATTAAACTTTTTTAAAAAGATGGAAAAGCCGTTTAACTCAAAGCCAGCAACTTCCCAATTTTTCTCAAAGACAATGGCATTAAAACAAAATCAAATCAAAATCGATAGAGTGGGGGTGAGTGGCTGGGGGGATTACTGTTTCTGTATTTTTATGTTTCTTGTGTAAACTGCCCATAATAGTGGCCTTTCACTAAATTGGGTGGTATATAAATGTCAAAAAGGAATTAAATAAATAAATAAACTTCACCGCGAAACACTTTGTGCCTCTCTTCAAAAATCCCAAACACTGCCACACATTAGGGTTACTATGGTGAAAAGCAAGCCACAGAGTGCCGTTTAACTCAAAGCCAGCAACTTCCCAATTTTTCTCAAAGACAATTGGCATTAAAACAAAATCAAATCAAAATCGATAGAGTGGGGGTGAGTGGCTGGGGGGATTACTGTTTCTGTATTTTTATGTTTCTTGTGTAAACTGCCCATAATAGTGGCCTTTCACTAAATTGGGTGGTATATAAATGTCAAAAAGGAATAAAATAAATAAATAAACTTCACCGCAAAACACTTTGTGCCTCTCTTCAAAAATCCCAAACACTGCCACACATTAGGGTTACTATGGTGAAAAGCAAGCCACAGAGTGACAACATAAGCAATCCATCAAGGGCCCACACAGAAAAGGTTGAAAGGTGTCAAAAGCTAATAAGTGTGAGATGGAAAATAAACAGCTCTGCCAACCTTTAAGCAACTCATACAGCAAAAAAATAAATAAAAAGAAACTCAGCAGAAAGGTTCAGAGAAACATATTCTCCCATTTAGCTTTTCAAGGTTACTTTCCTTGAGGTACACACACACACACGCACACACACACACAAAACCTACAAACCACCTTATCCTCTTCATTAAAGTGTTTGGTGACACACATTTCCACATCTATGGAGGTCCCCTCCCTATTTGCTTCTACTCTTCTCCTTTCAAGGCCCATAGCTACACAACTGAATAAAGATTCCACCACTGCTAAATTGTACCTGTTATTAAATATTCTTCAAAGGACATGATTTCTAATATATTCTGAATCATATCTAGTTTCCTCCAACAGACATGAAAATTTTACCTTCAATTTATGACCATTTTTTTTATTTATTACTGACTGATAATCTACCTAACTACCTCTACCCTTTAGTCATGACTGGCTTTCAAAACTCTTCAAATCCACAGGTATAAAATTAAAAACACGTACAAATCCATAGAACTCACTTCAGAATTCAAGCAACTATCTTCAAAACATGTCCAATAATTGTGACTATATATATGAATAGTCTACTTCTGTGGTTTGGCAACCAGCATATTTAATGGACAGAGTCCCCCTCCCTCAGTCTGCTACCTTCAAGTTACTGTGCGTGGGGCTACTTCCCTTTCAGCACACCCAATGACACAGAAGGCAAGAAGCTTTAGACCAGGGATGGGCAACCGTGGACTGGATGTTTCCAGGACTGCGATTCACACAATCCTTCCCCATTGGTTTTGCTGTAATCCAGCAATATTTGGGAGGTCTCAGTTGCTCCCTTCTGCCTTAAAACATGTTAAATAAGAAACGCATTTGCCTTGAATTATCCGATTTTGTGCAAGAGAAAGCTGTGCTCAGATGGTCAAGCTTTTGAATTCTCAGTCTATAAAAACAGGGAACATTCTGAAGTCAACCTCATGTAACTTTGTGGGGAGGTGGACATGTTCTAAGAATATTGTTTTGGTTCATAATCTAACTAATGTAATTTAGATACTGACGTCTTCTTGTCACAGACTTCTTTGTCTTACTCACGTCAGAGCCAAGATGGGCAAAATGCCACCTGTACCCACATGCAGCCTCCCATGTATGTAGCCTCCAAACTCCCAGGGCTCCTTGGGATTTTAAAACAAAATCAAAAAGATTTTTGCAAAGAAGGCCTATTTCTTCTGACGGGGGTCTCTAAGAGTACCTGTTTTCAAGCTGGTGGATTGGAGGGTGGGCTTCTCCCAAGACCCCTCAGGTCCCTTCCCCTGTGAAAACTGAAAACTAGAAACAGCTGTTTCCCTTGTTCGCTTCTTTAAAAAAACACAGTTATTTTAGCCAGTTTCATGCCCTGTATAGCCTGAAGTTGACTCTGAGAACAAATATTTTGCCCCCAAGACTACCAAAGTTTGGTTTCTTGTGGATAGGAGACAGCCCTTAATGGTTTGGGACCTCGTTACCTGACAGAGTGTCTCTCCCTAAGATTGTCCAGTTAGGCCACCAAGTTCAACCCAATATCATGTTCATGGGTGGCCACCCCTAGAGAGTCCCAGAAAACTACCATCAAGAAACTGGACCTTTTCAGTGGTGGTCATAACATTATGGAATGCATTGTTGTTGTTTAGTCCTTAAGTCGTGTCCGACTCTTTATAACCTCATGGACCAGAGCATGCCAGGCCCCCCTGTCTTCTACTGCCTCCCGGAGTTGGGTCAAATTCATGTTGGTAGCTTCGATCACACTGCCCAACCATTACCCGTAGATATACACAAGGTTCCCTCCCTTCTGACCTTCAGGAAATGGGGGAAAACCTATTGTTTGAAGTGGCCTTTAGAAATATCTTACTTCTTTTACATCCTCTGGGCTCATGAAATGAATTGATTATTGATTTTCCATCCAGGTTTCCCTCTTTTTTGGGACATCCTGTTTTTTAATGTTTATTGGTACTCTTTATTTATATCCTTCTGGGTGGGATTGGGTAGTTGTGTTTTAACTTTGTTAGCCACCCAGAGTAATGCCTAGGCACTAGATGGGTAGGATATGAATGTAATGAATTACATTCAAGTCATCAAATACATTAAATCATTTCCCCCATTCTTTGTATTTTTAAAGACTGAAATGCATCACAGTAACCCAACAGGTTGGAACACTGGAACAAAGCATGGGGAAAGGATGTCCTGGTGTGGGTCACCAGCAGTGCCCCACTGAACAACTGCATGATCAAAATACTGTTAGGAACAGTTCCTAATTTGTATGCTTTAAATCCCAAACGTAATGTTCCTTAAACAAGCCACTCTCAACAGCTGAACATGGACTTGAGTGAAATCTGTTTGCTGTCTCCCATGTTCTCTTAATACGCAAATATTTTCATAAAGTTCTCCCTACCTCTGCCAGGGCTTCAGCCTCCAGTGATTTCTGATCTCCAAGACTACTGTGACGAGTTGAGCTAGATGTGGGTCTCAATGGATGGCCATCAGTCAATGCCTTTCTGTCTGGATAGTTGATACTGCCAGCACTACCAAAAGTTGCCATCCGGCGCTTCTCTGGGCTGTCAATCCGGCCTCTGTTCAGAGGTAATATGTGGGGGCTGCTGGGACAAGCTGCTGCTCGGGGAGGGGTGTCAATTCCAGGGCCAATCCCTCTTGGCGGGCTATGAGTATCCCCTCCACTTCGACGGCGAGGGATTGCTGCTCCATCAGATCTCAATCTCACACTGCCAAGAAAAATCACCATGCTTGTGAAACCAAATCTCTACTCAAAGCATCCCCAGTCATTTGGACGAGTGATTAGGTCTCTTTATGCCATTTCCAGATAAGTGAAATAAACTGTACAAATCAGCTCATACATTTCTTCCAGCCCCAGAATTATTTCTTGCCTAGCACAGAAAAGGGAAAAAGAAAATGATTGCATCCCAGTAAGAACAGATCCATTTCCTACCGTCCCATCACTCCTCCAAAGCCATAGTCTGGAATATGATCAGTTGGAGACTGGATGTCATTCTTTGACGAAGCTTTATCATCAAGCAGGGGCCCACTGCTAGCCTCACTGTCGGCTTTCTGGCTCAGGCTGTCGGAAAATGCATCATCCCTATAGATAAGGAAATGCTCAGTTAACCTGAAGAGATAAGCAATAAAAGCTTGAGCCTAAAGGAGTAGACTTCGGTCTAGATGGGCGGGGTATAAACAAACAAACAAACAAACAAATAAGAAGCCCTGCTTGGGATTTCGCACCACTGGCCAGATTCTCTGTCAATGGAAGTAGGGACAGAGTAATCCCTGGAGAGGGCGTAGAGTAAAACTGAAAGTAGACAACCCAAATATATGAATTTCCAATGCTGGTCCAAAAGCACAAAAACAGTTCCAATACACTAACGCAATTGTACAACTGACTCACAGAACCTTTTCTTCTGGAGGGCTGGGCAAGAATTTAACATACAAACAAGTTGGTTTGGAAACTTTGGAACTTTCCAAATGGATGCTGGCAGATTTACAACTGTACCTTTTACTCTTCTGATATGGAAGTGAGAATGTGAAGGCTCAATGTCTTTCTTATGGTAGAGGTAGGGTACTTTGATATGGAAAGACAACCTTTTAAGGAATCCCCCACTGCTGCAAGAGTTCTTAAATCTAGCACAAGAACCAAATGAGACATCACACACTTCCCTGTGATGGTTTGCAAAACCTGGGCAGTTATGGCCATCATTTCCTTTCCTTTTCTGAAGCTAACTGTACATGTCACACACAAACACAACAAGGGCAGCCTGCTTTTTTCCAAAGATACAACCAACCCATCTGATGCATCTAACTTTTCAGGAGTCTGACAAGGTGTAAGGAAATAGGCACTGACATGTGGAACAGTATACAAACAAACAAACAAATTAAAATCCACATTGGCCATAAAAAAAGAAAACTTTTATAAAGCAATATTGAAATGGTATTTGACTTCTCTGGAATTAAATACTACAGATTCTAGTTATTATAAGATTTGCTGGAGATGTGGACAAGTGATTGGTACCAATTTCCATATGTGGTGGAAGTGTGAAGTAGTACTGAAATTTTAGAAATTAGTGTTTTTTTTTAATGGAAAGAAATTACATTTAACAATAGACGGTTCCCCATATATTGCATTATTGCTTATTTTGGAAGGTGAACAGTATTATTATGCAAAAAGGGAGAGTTAATTATGAGCATGGTAACAGTGGGGTTGTGGGGATGCTGTGGGCTAAAGCGCAAAAACCTCTGGGCTGCAAGGTCAAAAGATCAGCAGTTCAAATCCATGTGATGGAGTGAGCTCCCGTTGCTTGTCCCAGCTCCTGCCAACCTAGCAGTTCGAAAGCATGTAAAAATGCAAGTAGATAAATAGGTACCACCACGCTGGGAAGGTAACGGCGTTCCGTGTCTAGTCACGCTGGCCATGTGACCATGGAAACTGTTGAGGGACAAAACACTGGTTCTACGGCTTGGAAACGGGGATGAGCACCGCGCCCTAGAGCTGAACAAAACTGGACATTTGTCAAGGGGAACCTTTACCTTTGCCTTTTTAACAGCTGCTAAACTAGTGATTGAGAGATATTGAAAACTGAAGTATATGTCTCAATTAACTGAATGGTATAATGAATGATAAGTTCACATGGGACATAAAGGTTTTAAAAGAGAATAAATTTGTTGAAATATAGCAAGACTCTTAATGAAAAGTGAGGGTTGTTTACTGAAACATAAGATAATGTTATTCTGGAAGGGCTGAGGGACATCATAACAACTACTACAACAAAATTATACGAAATATATTTCTATCTCTCTTGGTCCCAGTCGTGGGTGTAGCAAAATATTTAAGTTTGTTTCTGACTTGTATAGACTTTTTAAAAAGTTTTAAGGTATGTATGTGTAAATTTCTTGTTGTTTTATGTGGCGTTGTATATTGTAGTTAATAAAATTCTAATATTAAATTAACAAAGAAGCAGGCAAGGCAGCAGGAGTTGTTATGAGCTTTGAGCAATTGGGCAAAAATTTCAATCCTATAAATATGCAAATTCTCACTAAGGCTCATTTTTTTTAAGAAAAAATCATGCCTGCTCACCACACAGAGAAAATCTTGCAATCTTATGTGTTCTCTTGTTTAGTATGTGAGGACAGACCAGATCACGATTTATATCTTGATTTTGGATGTGTTATTTGGTACACTTCACTCATTTATTTAGAAGCATACCTAAATGGACAAATGAAGAGCAGCTGCTGCCAGTATGAACCTATTAGAAAACAGAGCAAGGGGAAAACACACTTGGAAAGAGAGAGGGTGGTTAGCCTAGACTAAACAACATTTTGAAAGATATTTCTTAACTCTTCAGAGTGACTAGACTGCTTCTCTAATCACAAATGTCTTCCATCTTAAAATTAAATCTAAATAGTCTTTCTCAGAGAGTCAGGTGTCAATATAGTACCAAAGACAGATTCTCGCATGCACACACATTCTGCTATCAACAGGTTGAATTTTAAGCCAAGAAGGTCATTTTTAAATAATGGATAAGAGTCAGCCAAAAGGTTTCAGAGTAGTGAATGGGAGGACTCAGGGGCGGTTCCCACTAGATGTGTACAGTCTGTAGAAAAGATCTACATAACTTGTTTCAATATTGATTCAGTATTAAGCCTGTGGGTCAAAATCCACTTCCTCAGACACTACAACACCTAACTTGTGTGGCAAAAGAAAAAGAAGGATCTTGTGGCACTGGTCATGAACTAGTTTAGCTGTTGTAACCATGCTCATAATAGTCAGTCCTAAAATAAATCTTCCGAAGTTAACAAATTCTGTTAGGATGAACATGACTCACTGTGATTTGATCCTTCCCTCCCAACTTGTGTTTTATAGTTTCTTTTTGACAATGAACAGATAAACTTAAGCAGTCACATAATTTCAAAAACAATGTTAGATCTTTACTGAGATGACAGATTATACTAAGGGATTGTCCATTTACTTGCTTATAAAGCTGTTGTGTAGGATCTGTTACCATAGCACTCCTTTGAAACAAGGAGCATATTTCTCCAGTGGTAGATAAACAGAACACAACAAAATAAAATGTTCTTTGACTGTATCCAGATACACATTCTCTCTCAGTGGATCACAGTCCCAATTTTCAACACTGTTCTTGGTGAACCTCCTGAATGGGAAAAGGTAAGCACCAAACAGTGACTCATATAGAGCCATAACAAGTAAGTTCAACAAAAGTTATTCTCACCTGGGCATGAATAAATATAAAGAGGCATGTATTTGTTAGGGATGGGACTTCCAAGTTAATCTGCATGGGGCAGGGGACACACACAGAAGAATCACTTTCTTTTATTTTTGGATTCTTTCCGAGGCTTTACAAAAGAGAGCCTCTCAAATGTGATAGATTTGGGATTCTGAAAGAGAGGGCAACCATTTGGATTTCTTCATTCAGAACATGACAAATGTGGTGAAGGGTCTGACAATGAGATCTGATGAATCTGATGGTGCTTTTCATTCTCGTTTGTACTGCTTCCTGCTGATGGTGCTGATTAGTGTGTGTTGTGATGTAAAGTGCCAACTGATAATGATAGGTTTGATGATGATTTCTGCTTCTCAGGCACTATTGTTGTGTCACCAGCTTTTGGAGTAGTTGACTGCCTGTTGTCTACACCCTGAGTTTTTGGAGTACTTTTGAGATTCCTTAGGGCTTAGCTCAGTCTGATGTCAGAGAGCAAAGTAAAGAATTCGACCTTTTGTGTTTACTGAAAGGCCAAGTACCCAAAAGGACCGAAAAACATAAAAAACAAAAGAGGATACCACCTGAAAGAACCCAAAACAAAATCAAGCTGAAAGAGTTCCCCCTGCATCTTCCTATTATTTGTACTCACTATAAGAAGTAGATTTTGATCCATAAAAATTTGCACTGAAATAAATGTTAGTTATTAAAGTGCTACATTATATTGCCTCTCCCTTTCTTCTTTCTTCCCTTTATTTTTGCCAACAAGCAGAGACAGAATAATACAGCTACTTCTTGGGAACTTTTACAAAAGCAAATAATTCTCCTAGAACCTTTGAACTGAAAAAAAAAAGATATGTACATAGGAAGCTACCTAACATAAAACTGAACTGTTTTGTATACCATTCACATTCCTCTCTACTCTGACTGGTGCTGATTTTCTCAGGGTATCTGTTGTTACCTGCTCTATCCAGTTGGAGAGGCCAGTGGCTCATCATGAAATATAAAGCAAGTTCTCTATCAAAGAGCTGTTCTCCAACTGTTACACAGGACGGAGAATATGTAGCTCTCCACATGTGTCTGGATTCCAACTTCCATCAACTTGACAAATGATCAAGGATGATGGGAATTACAGTGAAACATCATCTTCAGGGACATGGCTTTCCCACCCTTAAGAAATGAGCTGAAACAAAGCAATGGAATCTGTTGACTAGAATAATCAGCTTCTTCACTGGGTGGAGATTTTCAGGGGGCTGCTCACATTATAGACACACTTTCTAACTTTGAAGTTTAATGGCTATATAAAAATCTGCTGTGCAGAATTGGGAAATGCTCCTGACAACAGTTTTTATTTTTAAAAACAAAACAACAAAAATGTGATGGAATACTGGATTTGTCATTGGAGATCAACAGTGTTTGCCAGCTGACAGCAGGTAAAAACATGCAAATTTCAGCTATATAAAAATCTATCACAATGTATTCTTGATGCAAGCTACAGGACAAGCCATGTTTATGATAAAACACATTTCTCTGCCCGTATTTCTTCTCTCTAGTCTGTACCATTGTTGTTATGTGTCTTCAAGTTGGTACAAAGTTACAGCAACCTTAAAAGTTTTTTCAAAGTAAATGGGATATTTAAGAAGTGGCTTTACCAGTTCCACACTCCCAGTGAGCTCCCATAATTGAGCAGGGATTCGGATTTAAGTCTTCCTGAGTCCTAGTGTGTCACTCTATCCACCACATTGGACTTCTACTCTTTATACTAGCCTCCCACAAGCTGGTGCCCTCTAGATGTATTCAGCTACAATTCCCATCAGACTCTGATCAGGAGGGATACAAGGGTTGGAGGTCTGCTCCACATTGTTAGATAAAGAGTCATGCTTGTCCTGGAAATGCCTTCGTTTATAAAATGAGTCACTGTAAACTTAATTGATTTGTGTTTTTCGTGTTCTATTATTAAACGAGTTGCACCATTATTATTCATCTAGGTTTTTTAAAAAGCTCCACCTCTTGTAGATCTTATCACACAATCCTGAAAATATATCATAGAACCATATACAAGAGATCACATTAAAATGTTTTGCTCCTTTTCTCTATTTGCATGCAGTTCAGGGAGACATATACTGACATGAACAAAAAAATGTTGGGGAAAAAAGAAGAGAGGGAAATTGCGGCATAAAACCAAATCAATCTCCTCAGTCACAAAAGACACATCAAGTTTCACAGATTCCTAAAAGCAGCTATCCCACTCTACTTCACCACCCACTTTTAACCTCTAAAGTTGGATGAAAATATCCATATTTCTACACCACTTACATGTCTTGTACCACAATGTACTGATGTGGTATGAGGCCATCAACTCCATTATGGCGACCTTCCCACCAATCTTCAGATGCCCGATGGTACAAGAGAAGAGAGGCTCCTTTCTTGAAGGACAGCTCACGTGGTGACCGTCCAATGTAGTCAAATTTGGCAATGGCTTCGATCTGCTCCACCTCTATAAAGTACATGGCAGGGGAGAAAAAAATGTATGGAAAGTAAAATGAGAAGATTAGCAAGCCATGCTCTGTGCCACAAGACTGTACTTCCCATTTTGCCTCTTCATTCCAAAGGCATCTTCATTAAGTCCTCTCATTTCTAGAAAACAATGCTTTGTAGAGGTTTCTCAGAATTCAGAAACTTGCAATATTCTTTCTTTGCTGAGTGACAGAAGATACTTTCTGCAGTGTGGCAAATTTTCTACCTTGACTGATGTGTTGTTTCAGATTTTAGGCTTGCCTTTTGAAATTGCAGAACTACTGTGATTGAATTGCAGAGCTACTGTGCATTATTGACAAAGTAGCATATTTACATAGCAGAAAACCATGAAATATTAAACTGGGGAAGAGAGCAAGTAACTGTGGTTGTCCACAACTTGTTCAACTGAAATCTTTCGTCATTATGCTGGGTAGGGCTGAAAGGGGTTGCAGTGTAAAAATAATAGAAGTCCATAAGTTGACTACCTTTCCAGTTCATTCATTCATTCATTCATTCATTCATTCATTCATTCATTCATTCATTCATTCACCTATTTATTTATTTATTTTATTATTTTGTTCTTCCTTATTCACCCTTCTCTCCCCCCCACCCATTTCAACTTTGGGGAGATTTTGAAGAAGGTATGTGGATAACTAAAGTTGCACAAAAGGTTACCCATCCTGAAGGCTACCAACAACAGGGCTCTGCTTCAAGTCAGTGTGTGGAAAGGTTTTTTTAAAACATAATTACTAATTACTTCTGTAACTAAAAAAACAAGGCCCTGTCAAAGTGGCTTGTCACCATTGAAACTGCCCCAATAAGCAGTACTCATCTCATTATTCTAGTTTCTTTTATTTTTTTTAAAAAAAATCATCTAAATATTGATGTGAAAAAATCATCTGAAGGTATGAAAGTGGCCAAAAATTTTGGGGGAAAATTATTTCAAAAATCCCAAGAAAGCTTCTTCACTTTTCTCCCCAAGTAACATGAAAAAACTAGCAATAAACGTTACCTGCTAAGTGAGGGGACAGTACCATTACCTGTTATTACATGCTCTACTGTTATGCCTTTGTTCTTGGAAAAAAGTACCATGCCCCAGAAAACATCATTCCTTGAAACACATTGCTTTCATGCTCTGAATCAGGCAAACCCAGCAACTCTTCAATGCTCTGTTCCATTCCTCTTGAGAACCTGACCCTCTAGGTCTCTTCTGACTAGGTTCCTCTTCCCTGCTCAGGTGCTACTCGTGGCCCTTATGATCCGTCCTCTGCCATCTTCCCCTTCTAACCATTAAAAAGTCCAGTCCCCTATTAACCTGCCTTTTTCCAATTCCGTTCAGGGCTGGATATTCATTCATTAATTCATTAATTCATTAATTCATTCATTTTATTTTATTTTTTCTTCCTTATTCACCCATCTCTCCCCCCCCCTTTCAACTTTGGGGAGATTTTGAAGAAGGTTCAATCAAGATCTAATCCCTAGTTCCTCCTTTTGAACCTGGAAGACATGGGAATAATGACATACATGGAGTGTTCATGATGTTCCCTAACTTTCACTACATTGTTATCATTTTTTTAAAAAAAGAAACAATTATTAGGAAATATTTCAAAATCCCCAATCTCAATTTGTATAAGGATTTTGTAAACAGTAAGCAGGAAAATGTGGCTTCATAGGACTGTTTTCCCAGAGGCTTGTGTCAATTTCTGCTTAGCTCATGTAGCAGAATTTTGGTCTATTTACTGGTATAAATTATAGATCACGGGCTGTTGTAAGGGATGATAGAATCTGTGCACACCTTTTAGCAGCATGCAATCTTTTTGAATCAGGATTAAGATACTATTCTTCAGTTAGATGCTAAGCAATTATAATCGTTGCTTAGGTGTTTTTTAGAGCCTTTGTAAGGCAGGGGGGACAGATGAGATCTAGGTAGCTCTATTGCAGTCCCTATCTCTATATACTGTTGGCTCCCCCAACTTTAGCTCTACCATTTCGAAAGCCACCCCTGAAAGACTGCAGATTCCTCCACAGTTCCTCCACCAATCTACATGCAATTTTCAAGAATCACAGAACCCACTTAGACAAACGTGTCAGTTGCCAGACATGCAAAAGATCTCTGCTTCAATGTACACAAGTCTGCATATTCTTCCCATGTTATCCAAATGAACATGACTGTCCAGTATACACAACTGCTCTTGTGTACATAGTGTGGCAATAAGTCTCCTACAGCAGATGACTTAGATGAGGATGTACACATGCTGATATGTTTGGAGGAGAAGACTGAGAACTCCTGTGACAGGATGAACAATAAGTAGCCCACATTATATCCAGTTGTGTCAATTTAAGACCTTAAAGAAAGATCTCTTAGCCAATTACAAGACTGTTCTCCTGTTCCTTTATCAAAAGCCTACCTAGAACAGGCCAAAAAAATATAAAACTGAATCATTATTATTTGTATCTCACTGTTCATATGTAGAATTCAGAGCAGTCTTCTGTGGTACAGGTAACAGCTAAATCTACATCCACAGCTTCAAAACAGAATTTTGTCAGATGCCTTTAAGCCAACACACAATCTCTTCACCAGCTACACCATTTTATTTCAGCAACCCTCAATTCTGGTTCAGGCCTACTCATTGCTAATAGTGCTGAGGACAGACTTCAGAAATTGTGGTATTCCAAACGCAAACCTTCCAGTTGGAATTACATACCCTATTATGAACTGACCCCAAACAGTTTTTAATTGTGGTCCAACTACAGTAATAATGGGATTCCTCCCAGCCAATCAAATTCCCTGCCAGTTCACTGCCTAGTCCAGTCAACCTATCTCTGTAGGGAGAGGGGGCAAAAGGTGACAGGCTTGAAAAGCTTTCTTCTTGTTTGGCTGCTTCTGAGCCTGCATCTGGATGCTGAAGAGTCCCCCTTGTCTTAAGCCCATTCTTTCTGGTGCCATCTCATCCAGGTCCTCATAATGCTAAGTTACTTCACAATATCTCCTATGCAAGAAATCAGCTATGAGGAAGGAAGGAGAGTGACAGGATAAATGGAGAAAGATCACCTCCTGCTGTGTTTACATGACCTATCTTGATAAAACAGTCAGGTACACCAGAAAGCTTGGAAGATACCTGAACAGAATGCAAAATGGGAACGTTTGATCTCTGCAGAACATTTCTTTGCATGTGTTTTCTGAAATGAAGAGAGAAGAAGGATTCTAGCAAGAACTTTTTGGGCTTGTTTATCTGATCCATGGACACAGTCACTGTTCAGTATGGTTTTCCTCAATGAATCAGCTTGTGTTTATGCTTAGATTACACAGAAATAAGGTGGAATATGTAGTCCTGTCTGCCATATGAACAAACTCAGTGAGCCAGAAAATATGTCACTGTTCAAAGACATTTCTTTGAACAAAGACTCTCTAATCTCTGCAGAGAGTTTTCACACAAAAAGTGAACCACTTGATCTGCTTAGAGAACTGACTGTGGACTTACAACATAACCCTTTAATAAGCCAAGTACAAGCTCATGGAATGCACTCTGCTTAAAAGGATCAGTCATACACAGCACATAGTTCAGAGAAGGATTCTCCTGAGGGACCACCTTCCTCACTTTTAAGTTGTCTCACATCAGGAGTCAGCTGGTGCATGCAAATGGAAGGCAAACCAGACAAAGGGGTTGCAATGGGGTGCTCTGCCGTAAGAGATAACACAGAAACATCCTCACGGCAGTATTATGTGTTTCACCGTCTTGAATCCTCCCAAATCTTCAGCCCATATTGTGAACAGTTTCATTACAGCATTTTCCCCTTGATGTTTATTCAAAAAACAAAAACAAAATCATCCTCAGAAAGAAAAAGGCTAACTGGGCAAATGCACAGTTCACATTTTCAGGAACCCAATGATAGTTTCTTGAGTGTATCTACAACTGCTCTGAAACAGCACGATAAACCAGGCTTACTCAACAACAGTAACAAAAAGTGTCAGGGTGGTGTGGTGACAGCCACTGACTGAGGCTGGAAAACAGACAATATTTTCAAAGAGAAGCAAAAGAAGTTTCACTTCCCATGAGACAATATTTGTGCTTGCATGACTCTTTCTATACAAGTATATAAACACTACTTGTCCCACTGTTGCTTCCAAATAAACAAAGTAAGTTCTGGAAAAATCAGTCCACTGGAGGCTGAAAGTGAAATGTGTATAGTTGCCGTAAGAGAAGCTCATCTTGCAAATAAACTTTAATTCAATCTTTTTTTAAAAAAAGGGTTACACTGATTTCCAGGCCAAGATGTCTTTAACCATTACAGATACAAACACAGAGAGAAAGTGTTTTGTGTATACCACGAGGTAGCAATGTATCAATGGTTACTTGTTTTTAATTAAAAACTAAATGGCCAGGGCAACATCTATGTGACTATAGGATGCTACCAAAAAATGGAGTGGAGGCCTAATACGTAGTACTGTTCTTCTCATGAGCTTCCTGTAGACCACTGTGCTATGTTCCATGGACCACAACAGAGCAAAAGTAAACGTAGTAAAAGTTCTTACACCTTTTAGGCTCATGGGGTAATAAGGCCATTCTGGGAATTGAAGTTGGTGTGCTCCTTTTTGCTTCTGGTGCTATATTACTGGAAAGGTCTCCTGTCCTAGGTCCATTTTTGCTAATCTCATCCCCCCCCCAGATGTTTTAGGCTACACTTTCCTTCAGCCAGCATTCGCCCAGATAGGGTGATGCAACTTAACTCGAGGGTGCCAGGAAAGCAAGAGAGCTCCTGAGTTCCTTGCTGAGGCTGTGGACCTTGGGAATAGGGGAAGGGAAGACGTCAACTGCAAGAGGGTATGTAAATTCATAAAAGAAAACAGCTCTTCCACTCCACACTTGTGTCATAGTTAATCACCCATAAAGTCCAATCAGAACTATTATTGTAACCATTCAGGCATAAAATTGCCTAAATGGAAGCTTGCTTGCCTTGCCTTTTCAGCTGAGGTAGACCGTTTATCACCAATACTGAAAAATGAAGGTTGACATCTTCCCTCCCCACCTCCTGCTGTTAGTGACCATCTTTGTTCCTTCCTCTTATGTCCTTTTGTATAGAGTTTAGAGCCACCCATGACATTTCCCCATATCATGCATCCATAAGGCGCTGGACTTCCTATATTTGTCGCATAGTGGGAAAATATTAATGGAATAAAGTCCATAAAGCAAGCAGACAACAGGCATGCATGGTAATGTAACAAACAGGATTCTGGAACAATGTTTCCTAATCTGCGAAATAAGCCAATTTAAGTGGCACCATGTGGTTCCAGGTTATTAATTCTCACTGATGTCCAAATCAAACTTGTTCAGTCTGAAAAATAAAAATAAAAATAAGGATGGCTGGGTAGATGTGTGCATGGGTAGAACAGAAACACACATATTATCCTGTCCATAATAATGCATGCAAAAACTATAATATGAAATGAAAGAATCAAACTCAGCTCCTTAGGGATGTGCCAAATATTTTTCTGTTTTAATTATTTAATTAAAAATGATTATGACAAGGTGGAGAAATGTTTTTTTCTAAAATGCTTTAACTGTGATAATATTCACTTTTCCTTCTCATTTGGTTCTGTGACATTTCCTCTCTTTGCTGCTATTGCTCTCTCTCTCTCTCTCTCTCTCGCTCTCTCTCTCTCTCCCATCCCCCGAGAACAGTCCCATCAGTGATCCCAGCCCAAGAGAGATCATGTAGACTGCAGGATTAGATCCTAATACTACACAAGCAAGCTTAACCATGAGCTAACATTCCAATGATGGCAAATGAAGGCAATTAAAGTGAGGGCAATATTTACTGGTTTGTATTTTTCCTAGTCAGGAACAATATCAGCAAATATTATGATGTATTGATGCTAGAATTCATTATTGCTGAGGATAATTCAGACAAGGCACAGCAAAGAGCAATGTAAACAAATGGAAAATAAGTTACTGAAAAATTAGGGAAGATGCTTTTCAACACTGCTAAAAATATTTCTCCCCCTGCCCCGAAGCATTTTCTGTTCAAACTTTATTACTATTGCCACATGTAACCACCTCATCCATAGAAACTTCTCACTTTTATAATGTTCAAATACCGGTGTGGCAAACATTTAAAACAAAGCAGATATATGTCTTGAAATACACAAGAAAATACTGCAAAAACAGATCTTCACCTCCTTTACCTGATAGAAATACTTCAAATAGAACTGATAACTGAAGTTTAACAACATCAACAGTTTTTGCTCCCACAACAATGGAATAACATAGATCAAGAGAAAACAATGAGGGATTTCATTTTCATGCCAAATTGAAAAATGGAAAGGCTAGCAGTTAAGCTAGTATAAAGGCAACTCCCATAATGCCCTTGGAATGAAATTACAAAGAAAACAGGTAACCTGGTATGCTCCCATATGGTTATTTTCACTTGCCTCTCAAAATACTTCATCAGTACCCATTTGCACCATCATATACAGAAAGTCATCTCTCTCTGCTAACAGCCATATGTTAGCCCAAGGCAATCTGATTAGGAACCAAATGTACATTGCTGTTCCCCACCTAAATCATAGTAGCTTTTCTTAGACTCACGTTTTCCACTGCTTGTTACTACACTCACCATCATCACTGGTGTGGGGCTCTGTGCCATTGTCATGATCTGCTTCATCAATGGTGCCTGGCTCACTGTGCGGGCTGTCACTAGAATTAAAGATGGGGAAAATAAACACACACACACACACTAAAATGGAAAAGAAATAGCTGTATGTTCCTCGCAATTCAGTACACAAAAGGACAGCTGCTCTGAACTTGTGTCAGAAACGCAAAATGGTTACTTCTCATATGCAAGTTGTATTTCTACTAACTTGCATTTTGGTTTGTATCAGAATGGGCAAAGCGCAGCACTCCAGATGTTGTTGGACTGCAACTCTCAGCATTCCTCACCACTTTCTATGCCACCTTGGACACGTGGGAGGTTCAGACCACTCTCACCTGAATACCCACAAATTACCCACCTATGTTCCCCGTCCTCTAGCCAAATTTTCCTACACATATCAGCATTTTCTCCATACTTTGTTACATCTGTAAGAAAACATTTCAAACATTTTATCTGATCATGACTGACCCAAGTTCAGAGATATATCTTCCCCTACTGGCTATGAAACTGCTTCCTTCCCAAAAAAACAAAACAAAACAAAACAAAACAAAACCTGGCCTGAATTTGCTCCCTCTGTCAAAAGACTCACATCAGGATCAGCCCTGCTACTTGATCTGTCCTGTTCCAGTGGATACCTTGCACTTGAAAATTAAAAATCCTAGACTAGTATTTTGCTTGGAACTTACTAGTGTCTGTTTTATTTTATTTATTTATTTATTAGATTTATACCCCGCCTATCTGGTCATTTTGACCACTCTTTCTGTATATGCAAATGAACAGTGGTGTTGCTGGAAGCAAGCAACATAAACATGAATCTACACTCCCTGTTGTTCAGATCTAAAATAATATCTTTGCAGCAAAGAAAATCAATAAACAATTTAAAGCCAATAGATCACTGGATATCTAATGTTGGCTTATTCCAGAGAACAGATTTGATTATTGCCTGCTGAGTCTATTTCTGCCTCAGGAAAGCAGATGTATCCATTACACGTGTGTCTGAGGGAAGCCTTAGTTCAGATGTAGAACTGCTGGAACCATTTCTACACAGTAGCAAAAAATATGTTGGAAATGTGACCCCTGTTCACTGCATAGCTTGTTCTTTTTGTCTGGCGAATTGTCACAAGATTCTGACCATTAAAAGTAATAACAGTGATTACTACAACAATGTTCCTTCCATAATAATAGTGATAATAATAGTAGTAATAGTAGTAATTGATATTATTATTTAATATTTGCCTTTTTAGTTGTCTCAGCAAAGAAAAGCATGATAAACTCCTTATATATTACTGTATATAAGCAAAAATACTTATAAGCTAAGTAAGAAAAAAGGTACATGGATGTGTTCATGTAGGGTGCATTGTTGATTGTGTGTGCATATGTATGACAGAGAAAAATACACAGAGAGAAAAATCACATGTTCAAGAATGATGAAATATATGCCAGAGACAAGAAGGGAAGAATACTAAAACAAGAAACTATATTTCTCACTAACTCAGATTTGCTCTTGATTTCAAAATTTGTAATTTCTTTACTATTTCTTTCCTTCTTTGCTTTACACTGTTGAAATCATGCAATCCTATATACACCAGCTGAGTAAGAGTCCCAGGGTCTTATTTTTAATAAAACATGTATATGACTACATAAAAATATATTCACTTAAGAAGAAGAACAGACATGTCATTAGCTAAGCCCATGGAGAATGCAAACTTCAAAACAAACAAAATAAAGTTGTTGTTTTTAAAAATCCAAGTATGGGGGGAAAAAGAGATCCAGTGTAGTGCAGTAGATAAGTATTAGACTAGCATTCAGAAGACTTGGTTTCCAATTCCTGCTAGGCCGTGTAATGTCATAATCCACTGGTTCTTCACCTTGGGTTACTCAGGAGTTTTGGACTGCAACTCCCAGAAGCCTTCACCACCAACTGTGCTGGCTGGGGTTTCTGGGAGTTGCAGTTCAAAAACATCCGAGTAACAAAGGTTAAGAACCACTGTCATAATCACATATCTCAAATAAACCATTAGGACCTCTGTAAGTGATATGACCGCACATAACAACAAAATTGAAACTCAGATGGTCACCACCACCAATGCAGAGGACTTGGGAGAGAAGGATCTCAATCAGGAGGTTGTGTTGGGTCAAAGAGGAAGCCCAAGAATCAAAACACCAAATGAAGAAACCAATTTATGCAGGAAGGAAAAAATGGGACAGGATCCATCAATAGCAGGGTATCTGATGGTGGAAGATGAAGAGAAGGAAGGAAGAAGAGAAGGAGATAGAGGAGGAGGGGATAAAAGGAGAGGTAGAGAATGAGAAGAGGAGGGAGGAAGGAGGAAAGCAGAGGAGAGAGGTGGCTGAGGAATTGCCAGAAAGATGGGGATAGATTGAATTAGAGAACTTGTGAATCAAGGAGATGGTCTGGATCAAACGTCCTAGCGAGGAGACAGTGACGAGACAGAACAGTAAGCTCCCTCCAAAACCATCTTATGGAGGGGCAGGGGAGAGAGGAAGGAGTTGAGAAGGAAGGGAGGGCAATCCAATTAGAAAAACTAGAGGGGATGGAATGGAGAGTCCTAGTATCCAAAAACGGGGAGGGGTGTGTGTCCTGGGAGACAACTACCCCACTGAGACAGTTGCTGAAGGGGAACAGGAATGTCACTCTTCTGCAGGAACCTACCCGCAAGTCAACGGTCACCCCTTCAAAAACCTACAGCCTGGTGGAGTTCCCCATTATTAGAAGGGAGTGATGTTAAAGAAATAAGGGATGGTTCGTTACAGTCCCAATGGTTATTGGGTGAAGAAGTGGCAACATCAAAGGATGTTGAAAAACCTCAGGTGTTGTTAAATAAAACTTTGGTAGTTAATCAGAAAGTCCCTACATTTTTAAAAGGGGAAATAGATGAACCACTGGAAGTGAAATCAGAACCCAATCACAGGCTCACTCATATGAACTCTGCTTTCATTTCCATAAATCATATGGTTTGCCACTGTGGAAAGCAGGGTGTTACACTGCGGACTTTTTATCTGCATCCATGGGATTATTGTAACTTCCTGAATTAATTTAAAGGCAAGGGGCCCGTAAGGTCCACATAAAATTCCACAGCTTCCAGCAGAAAAAAACTTTTTCCCTTTGGTTTGGCAACTGAGAGGACTGAAAAAGCATCTCCATCCCACATGTATCCATGGTTCTATACAGCAGTCCCACCTTATTTGGTTAAAATAATAATCCCTGCATCAACTCACAGCTTAAATCAATGACATGTGGAGCAAAGAAATATTTGACTTTTTCAAATAGTTACAGGCACATCATTCCTTTCTGAGTTGCTTACCAGTATTCCTCTCCACCAGTCATGCATTTTTCATAAACTGGCCCTTCGAGTTCCCTAAGGCTGGGAAAGATGCCCTCATGATTGATGATGATGGTTTTGATGACCTCATTGACATGAGCTTGACAGGACACTGGATCTTGCCCATCTGGAATATGCATCAAAGTTGGTCCAAAGCATATGGCCAGGTTATAGGGATCCATCATGTTCTCATCACTGTACTGTGATAAGCTGCAAATACAAGCAACCCACAGCTACTGCACTAAGCCATCAAAAGTTTTAACATAGTTAATGCTCTACAGGCATTTCTTGCAGCTAAGTGAAAGGCAGTCATTATCAGGTTTAATAGTAAAGGGTCACCCTTCCCTTCCTGTTTAAGCCACAGGTCTGACAAAAACAACCACCAAAAGGTAAACTAATGTACACCTCAATTAAAAATTGAGCAGCTGGTGAAGGGACTCACTGGTTGAGGAAAGCAAAGAGGTATCTCATGACAATGATGACAGCCCGTGGCAAAGTAATAATGATTTGCTGGATCTGGTGCACTCTTTCAGCAAGATTTTCAATTTCTGTAACAGAAGAATTTACAATTGCCCATTAAAGCTCAGAATCAGACACATACCGTTAGCAGACCAACTTTCAAATGGGTTGTCATTTGTGTATTTTAGTTTAAGGTATTTTCAGTTGTTGATACAATTTAATTGGATTTTGTTGTACTTTTGTATTTATTATATAGAGTTTTTATGTCTTGTTGCACATTGTAAACCACACAGAGAATGGCAACACTAATGGGGTGGTATAGGGATGGAGATGGATGGAAGGATAGATAGACGGATGGAGAGAGACAGACAGACAGACAGACAGACAGACAGACAGACAGACAGACAGACAGACAGACAGACAGAGAGTGACAGACACACACAGAGAGAGAGAGCACTACTCGGAGTGGTTTACAATTTAAAACTTAAAGATCCTGCAGATCCCACATAAACTTTCAGGAGTTTTTCTTGGTTGCTTATTTATCTGATACACAATTAAGAGGGTCATGTAACTTCAAAATCATTACGTGGCAACTATTTCTTGCACACACTATTATCTATGAGACTGGTTCTTCTCTCTGAACACCATGTTGAAGTTCATAGCAAGAATGAAAAACATTTCATTGGTCCCCTCCACCAAAATAAGAGCACTGTAATCTAACAGCCAACCTAATAATAGTTTTTGCATATGTTTACCTGGAAAAGAAAGTAAAGATTAAACATTGTAACTGGGCAGATCATATCTGTGTATTCTGTATAAATCTGACTATTCAAGATAAAGTCCCACTGTAAGTGTTCAGATGTATCATTCCTTTAGAATTACAGAGGAATATACTGTAATAGCTGTGCTAGATGTCACTAAAGCCTAACATTCTGTTTCCTACAGTAATCAACCACACATTTCTTGGAAGAGTCAGAATAAGAATAGCTATCTCCCACTTTCTTCCCTAAAGACTGCTATTTCCATAGGGGGTAAATATCACGGGAAAAATCCATTTTTAAACTATGCTCTGTATGGTAAATCTATTTGGGGGGGTGGGGGAGAAGAAAGCAATTTTTTGTAGTAGTTCAGCTGTGGGACAAAATAACCAAAGGAAAATGGGATTTACTTTTGCAAGACTTTTTAATAAAATGGACCATTCAGAGTAAGATGTAAGTGCACCTTGCCTCAAAGTAAGGTTACAGATTTGTTCAGCAGAGTTCTGCCTGGTAGCCACCTTGTTATTAACCAAAGAATGTGTGTCTATATGCATGTGTATTAATAGGTAGCTTAAACAAAAATATTAATTTTAATTTGAAGAAGAGAATGCACATATGATTTTTATACTAGTCCATTCTGTTTTTGGACTGCTACCAGTCCTCAAAGTGGCTAACAATAGCTTTACCAATATTTTAAATATTCTTAGGCCAATTTTAATAAGATGGGGGGTGTTTAAAAGCATCTTGAGCACCGGGAACAATTACCATTGGTCCACATATGGTCAGAATATAACATTGAAGCGTAAGATTTTTAATTAATTATATTAATTAAATTGCATTTGGATTGCTCTTGTGAGAAAGACTTCTTATATAGACTCCACAGTCTTACCTTCAGCCTCTGTTAACAGTCAGATACCTGCTTCTTTAAGGGGGGGGGGAGGCAGCAAGAGACTAACTTATTTCCAAAGCATTTAGTAAGTAGTGGATTAGGTGGCACTGCAGACTTTCAGAGGATGAAAATACCCTGCGACATGCGCCACACTATGTGCTGCCAAAAGTCACTCAGCATAAATCAACACAAGCCCAGGGAAATCACAAGTGAGCTTTCTGTTGTGCTACAGTTCAAAATCTAGAGAGAAAAAGACAGCCCTACACGGTTAGCCTTTTCCATTTATCATATGGCGTATTAAACTGTGTTCTTTGGCTTCCAGATTTCTTCAGTTTTAACTTCAGATAAGAGAAGAGCAGCAACTTAGGCTGAGCACCTCTCAACCAAAAAAGGTTCTACTCTTCCATTTAAATCTGAGGTGGAATATAATACAGGAAGGATTACCAATCTGTGCCCTCCACATGTTTTGTGGAGGGCATAACTTCCATTATTTCTGCATATTGGAGATGCTGGCTACGGTTTACGGAACTGTAGTCCTGAAAATCTGGAGGTCACTAGATTGGTTTACCCCATAACACAACCTAAATTTGTTACACACAAAAATTCACAAACACAGAGGTCTTAGGGACATATTGCAGTGGAGTGTGTTTCTGTTCCATGTTCTAAGGCAGCGGTATGTTATTTTGGCAGGCATCATCCCAACATTTTGACTAAAATATATTCCTCTTCTGGGAGGCTGCACAGGAAGGTCAGGAGCTAAAATGGAAGTAACAGTCATGATCTATGAGAAATCACAAACACCTCCTGGCATGAAGGAAAGGAACTTATTCTGGCCTGAAGCAGTCACATGTCATGTTGTATAGGGTAGGAATGGCCAAGGAACTAATAGGTGAATGTCAAAAAGCAATGACTTTTTTCACTTCATATTACAGGGACTAAAGAAACAGATATCACAATGTGCAGGATTTAAGAACTACATTTATTACAAATAATTAACGTGACTTACTTATAGTAGAGATCAAGTCCTGAAATCTTTCTTTAGGAAAGAGTGGATTTTCTAGTCCCCGGAAATATAACTTTAAGACCCCAGCAACAGAATTAATGTCACGTTCATTTTGATCATCAGCAAGGGGATCTTCACCTGGATGGTTTAAAAGATGATTTTTTTTCAACATTAAGCCACATATTAACACTTGTAACATATTAGCAGGAGAAGAATTTAGTAGTAACAAGTTACAAATAATTAACTTGGAAAAAAACGCATAACTATATACCATGTTACAATTATGGCTTAAAAAGCGATAAACTCACTTCATTTATAATGGTATTGTAACTTCTAAAGCTTTCTTTTACATTTATAGGGCACGGCCTTACTAAATGACAGAGGAGGAACATCAAATAGTCCAAGCGCTAGGTTATAATGCTGCCTTATGCTTTGTTGTATATAATTAAGTGATTATGAGGAGAAGGTGGTTTTACAGCATTTGGATTTTTTTAAAAAAATAACTAAAATTATTTTAGTTCTTCTTGAGAGTTAGGAAAATAGAGTCCGATGGTTGATAGAGTCCCTTAAACTTGAAGTTTTAATATCTGCTTCAGTTACATGGGGGGGAGGGGGGCAGCAAACTAACACAGTGACAGGAATCCTGTTGCTTAACATAGTAGGCTGTATGATGTGCTGGCCTATTTGAATCAATGAAATTTACAGAGGAGTTGACTCATCCAATCCCTACTGATTCAATAGGTCTAATCTAGAGTAATTTACTATGCTAAGCAACAGGATATTAGCCCCCAACTACTTAGTTTTTAAAAGCAATTTCCCAGGCTTTTTGAGGGAAATAGTGTGCACCCAAGCACTACAAATGCTCTGGAAATGTTCTGTCATAGCAAAGAGATGCTTGCTTTATCCATCCACTTAACAGAATATTCACTGAATAGCTAAAACAGAAAGATTCCAATTAAAGGATGTAAATAGTGAGAGACAGCAGGATCACATGAAAGCCTGTGTTTTAAACTTTTCTGAATAAGTAGTTCTACTGCAGGTACAGAATGAATAACCATCACACTCCCATTTGGTCTTATGAAGTAGGTATTGCAAACACAATCCCTTCAGCAAAGCCTTATCACATAACTACAGTATACTGAGAAGGATCCAGACTTAGTCTACTCAGATTAGATGCAATGAAATAAAAGAGACAAATCAGTCATAACTAACTGAAACAACACTGATTGGTTTATTAGCATGACTAAATCTGGAACTGATTATTAAATCCACAGATATTAATTATGTGGTTCTTGATTTGTAGGTAAAGGTTCCCCTTGACATTTAGTCCAGTTGTGTCCAACTCTAGGGGGCGGTGCTCATCCCCGTTTCCAAGCCGTCGAGCTGGCATTTGTCCTTAGACAGTTTCTGTGGTCACATGGCCAGCTCAACTAGACATGGAACGCTGTCTGTAGATGATTGATTTGTAGATATCAATGTTATCTTCTGTAGTACCTTGATCTTGTCTTTCATTTCTCCATCATGACCATCTTAGTGTTGTTGAACAAAGGATATTTAAATGTTTACAACGCAGAGGCCTTATTCAGATGTTTGCATGCATAAACAGGGTTGCAACAGTGAGGGGTGCATGAAGATGCATGTGAAACTTGCCCCCATCTCCCCACCACCACCAAGACTTTAGTCAAGACCCTTGTGCTTATTGTGAAAGTCTGAAGAGGAGGTTGTAAATGTGTTCAGCTGAATGAGCTTATAAAGTTCCCCTGACCAGGAATCCAAGAAAGGGGGCGCCACTCCAGTTATGGAAGTTCTACATGCACATCCAGTTGATTCTGCTTCCAGTTTTCTCTTCAGACCTTTGCAATGAACATACAAAGATTTGACTGATGATCAGGGACTGGTGGGTAGGGCAGGGCTGACATATCCCCATCACAATTAAGAGCTCTATTCATATGCTCTGGTAGACACCAAAGTATGACTAGGAAAGGGAGGAAAAAAACTGTCTGGAATATGATTAAGGCTCTTCTTTTCTTGGTTATATTTCACAAAGTCCTCAGCTAAATTAATTCAAAGAAAGCAAAACTGGAAATTCTGAGACACTTAGAAAACCTTGCTTAAATTCAACTCCTATGGCCCAGGTTTTTCATGGCTTCTGAAAGACCGAGAACCATGTTCATTCCAGTGTGTCATTCTGAAATATTATTCTTTTGTATGGAAAATTAAGAATGTAAAACAATGCAACCTCTCTTGAAAAGAAATACTGTACTCAGATTGGGTCATGATAATTTGAGGCTGTAAGATGTTACATCATCTGTATATTACTAAGGGAAAAAGTATCAAACCATCTTACAAGAGGCCAAGGCTTATTCATGTACCTCTCTCAAATGAGTTCTTTATATCATTGACTTCGACCTGAGATCCAGGAACTCTAAAAATACCCTGTTGTTGTAGACCTGAAATGAAACCATAAAGAAAAGGAAAAGACTATTAGGATAGGCTTGGACTTAAATCATTGCCCTTAGCAGTTATTCTTTGCTCACATTTTGCTTAGATGTTTCTGAATTTTGAGTATATGCCAATAATTATAAAATGCAGAACTCCTACTCAAATATAAAAACACACACTTCACAAATAAATCCAAATCTAATTATACATATTCCTGCTCTAGAGCAGTGGTCCCCAACCTTGGGCCTCCAGATGTTCTTGGACTACAACTCCCAGAAGACTTACCACCACCTCTGCTGGCCAGGATTTCTGGGAGTTGAAGTCCAAGAACATCTGGAGGCACAAGGTTGGAGACCACTGCTCTAGAGCCTTTCCCTCAGTACCACCACAGGAGAGAGCCTTCTCTGTTGCTGCTCCCAGATTTTGGAACTCCCCCCCACAAGAGGCCAGGTTGGCCCCAACTTTGCTAACCTTTTGCAATCAGGCAAAGACCATGCTCTTCAGGCAAGCCTTCCTATAGTAACCAGCTACTGTGTGTGATTTTTAGACAAACTGTTATACATTACAGCCTTTCCCTCAGTACCGCCACAGGAGAGAGCCTTCTGTGTTGCTGCTCCCAGATTTTGGAACTCCCCCCCACAAGAGGCCAGGTTGGCCCCAACTTTGCTAACCTTTTGCAATCAGGCAAAGACCATGCTCTTCAGGCAAGCCTTCCTATAGTAACCAGCTACTGTGTGTGATTTTTAGACAAACTGTTATACATTATTGCTTTGATTGGATTTTTAGTATTTGCATTTTCCATTTTGTGTTTTTTATTTCTCAGAATGACTTTTTTGGGTACTTATTGATCTTTGTTTTAATATTGCCTATTAATGTTGTAATATGCTTCCTTATTAATTGTTTTATTGTCTTTTAATGATGTTATCCACTGTTGTATATTAATTGTTTTCAACTTTAAATATTGTATTTCATTGTTTGTAAGCCTCCTTGGATCCTTTTCAAGGAGAAAGTCAGGGTCAAAATACTTTAGATAAATAATAAATAAATAAATAATGCAATTTCATCTTTATCAGTATATAAAGTAAAAAAGTAGGACAGTGAGAACCTGACTCAGAAAGCTCCTGCCTTGTCAGATATGGAACAGAAGATTTCTACCATCTGGCAACCCAAATTTTTGGTGTACAGGAAAAAGTTCAGCTGCAAGATAAAAGGCCAATTCTCTTTTCTCTTCTAACAGTTTGAAATATAAAATAAATGGGAATGTATAGTAAAATTTATCTGCCCCTCTAAACAATCTTGCACTAAAGTCAACAAGGTAAGGCTTGGGGGGTCATATTCTGCCAATAAGATTTTCACGTACTTTATAAAAATTTTGCCTGTGGATCAAACCATCATACAGGAAAAGCTTTTTAACATGATTATGACCTCTAGGACTCTACATTCTGTCCTAGAAAAAATCCCAGTTCTTCATCACCAACGTGTCAAAAGGTGTCCTGCAGTAAATGGAAGGACTTTGTCCAATCACAATCAGAAGTGCAATCTCACTGTTTGACCAGTGAGCACGTATACAACCAAAATATTTATCATACATGTTAAGTTTCGATGTTTAATAAAACATAGATTAATTAATAATGAAGACGAAGGCCTGTATAAATTCATCAAAACAAATGGCATGTTAGTTTGTATTTTAGATGCAAAGGTTTTAAGGCAGAACTTCCAGTGAACACCCTGCAGCTGGGTAGGGGGAAAGACCAAGGGAACTTACCATATAAATTGATATATCGAATACAACTTTCAACCACAAGTGGAATAGCCTGTCCTGAATCCTTCGAAATAAAATGAGACATGTTTCGTTTAAAAATGAATATATTAACTTGGCACAGTCTATATTTTAAAAAACAGTCAAGCAAAGACTTTACAAGATGTCCCGGGATGAATAACAAACACCATTAGTCACAGAGTTAGCAAGACATTAAGATAACAGTGATGGTTTCCAAATAACATTTCAGATATCCAGCCTATTATCATCAGGTATGAAAAGAAGCATTTGGCAATAGACAATAGATGATAGCAGCCCCTTAGCATCAACCTGACTTTAGCTGAAGCAATAGGGAGAAGTATCGCAGGTGGATTGAAGCTAACACTTTATAGAAAAGTACCAACAACAAAAGCCAAGCGACACCTTCTGAGAAAGTTAAGGTAATTGTTGTGCTGTCAAGTCATCTCCGATGTACAGTGGTCCTATATTTAATGACCTCAAATGGCCCTATCATTAATAGGCCTGGTCAAGTTTTGTCTCCAAACTGGCAGCTCTTCCATTATTGTAGATGCATTCCATCCCGCATCAACAGACTAATGATCCACTGCCCAAACTGGCTGGGAATGATGGGGGTTGCAGGTCCTGCACATCTGGGAACTACAAGCTTAGGTGAAGATTGCACTAATGCGTGGTTATACAATACGAATGTTTTCAATTTCCATAAATATGTTTCTAAAACACTTTCATAAGGATAAGGAAATAGCGATTTTTGCATACATTTTGGCTTTCCTATGTACCATTAAAGCAACACTTCATTTGAATTTTAAGGAGAGACTCTAGTACTTTTACTATTAGCACAGGATTACAACTGCATCCCTTCAAATCAGAAGCTTTTTTTTAAGATGCTGTTTTAGATGCAATATAATATTTCTTTTTCCAGAAGGGGGTCCTCTAGTAAATACCTGATTTCTTGTTCGAGCATTCCTTCTTCCTCTGATAAGCAAATAAAGCAACAGAGTAGGGAAAAAAGAGAAGGTTAAGCAAGAATAGGTCAGTTAAAGTAAGTACAACCTCCAGAGGCTATGAAAGCTCAAATGCAATGGCAGCTTAGAAAGATCTAGCCCAACCTCCAACACTCCATATAACAATGGCTTAGTATGCAACCCCACAGCCTCAGTGACAGACCTTCAGGAGCTTTCTATCAGAAGATGTGTTTCCATTCTCCTTCTTCCAATTCTCTGTTTTCCCAACATATTTACTGCCTAGGTCTCCTAATTCACAGATGCCAGAAAACCTTTCTTATCCTTCCACTAGGAAAAAAGGGAAGCCCTCCTCTTTTGAGAGGACATGCTTTGAACTGCTGCTGTTATTTAATTGCCATGGTCTGCTTGCTTGCTTGTTTGCTTTTCGGGTTTTTGTTTTGTTTTTTGTTTTTCTGATTTTTATCTGCATATTATTTTATAGTTGGATTGTTTAAACTGTATGTTACTTTGATGCTTTATTCAGATTATTTTTTTTTGGTGAAAGGTTTTTTAAAAAATTTTTGAATGGCTCTTTCAAAGTCTCTTAGACAAAAACATATTATACAACAACATAACACTTCTTTAATAGATTGGACACTTATTTGTTTTGTTTTATTGTATTAAAGATTTTTAAATTGTCTTTCATCAAACGAATACCAGAGGAGACTACAAAATAAAAACAGAAATCATAAGACACAACACAGAAGAATAATTTTAAAACAATCATAAAACTTTTATAAAGTCATCAAATGAGACAAGGACACATTCTAACCAAACGCCTTGGCAGACAGCAACGTTCTAACCTGGCATCATAAAAATGGCAATGTAGGGAAGATGTTCCACAATCAGCATGACTGGTAAGATTGTCTCCTTCACTCGTATGTTCTTGTACGGTGTTCAAGAACCGTCCATTTAAGAGATCTTAAGACACAGGCTGATATGGGGGGGGGGAGACACCCTTTCAAGAGTACTCTCGTGTACTGTGTATTAGGTTTTCAACCAGGAAACTAAAGTATTAACCAGCCAAGGCAGATTAAGAATGATTAGATCGGACAAACCAGCCACAAACTAATACAATACATTCCAAGTCACTAGGCCTCAACACTGGACCAAAATGTTACCCATGTGACAGATAACCTGTAACTCTGGCTAGAAAGGGCAGTACTGTACACAAAATTCTGAGATATTGCACCTCTACACAGGGCCTTCATTTTATCAGGAACAACTTTCCCTCTAATTCTCTAGAGCGCCGCATGGAGGCTGCACCTTCTGCAGGCAGGAGTCTGCTCACAACTGGAAACCAATTGGCTGAAACACTAGATCGGTTCCCCCCCCCCCGATGAAGAGCTGCGCTCCCACGCCCTCCTTAGAGGGAACATTGACAAGGACTCATCTTCAATTTAGTAACCTTCCTTTGCTGCTGAGCCCAGACAATGGTTCACCATCTCCACAGCCTCACCAGATTCAAATGACATGGAGAAATAGAGCTGAGCAGTATAAGCTTATAGTGGCACCCTGCTCTAGATCCTCTGACAGCCTTGCCCAGCTGTTTCATATATGTACTTGGCCTCAAGATTTATAATGAATACGCCCTTATATACTGTATATTGAAAAAAATATATATTTAAAGGAATGAAAAAAATAGGGGGATATGACAGGAACGTGTGAGTCCTTTTCTTTTCTCTAGGCCTCAAGATTTATAATGAATACGCCCTTATATACTGTATATTGAAAAAAATATATATTTAAAGTCACTTTCACTAGGTCTTAATTAACTAGAATTTTTACTATGTGGACATAACTAGACAAAGAACATAAGAGTATTCTCTCACTCCCCAAAATCAGCAAAACTGATACTTCCAGAAAATTTAAAGAAGGGCAGAATATTTTTCCTTTAAAATTCACTCCTATTAATTTTCTACAGAAACTTCTTTATTAGAAAGGATTCTATGTTGTCTTTAGATAGATTTCCACTGGAATTATACTTTTAAAACTGATCACCTTGCCAGTCTCAACTCTACTTATGACTGTGAGTTGTCATACTGGAAGGCAGTTAGAGATGGAAGAAAGTTGGCAGTGGGACTAACAAGCAGGGCCAACAGATGATACAAACATGGGCTTTGAAAGGAAGAATGGTGCAAGAAGGAAGCATAACTGGAGGGAAAATCTGGAAAACAAGTCCTACAGCAGGAAATGGACCAACACAAAATATTTGGAGGGCTGAAAACTCTAAGACATAAAGTCAAGGGAACCTAGGAGTGCTAAACAGAGGCCCTGTGGATGCTGCTGTACATTTGTGCACAGAAGTTGAATTCTTTCCATTGCAGAGTCTATTGCAACAGTAGTATTTTGGTGTTGCAACCCTATGGACAAAAACAAGCTCAAGGATCTTTGTATGAGCATGTGGCTGCTAAATTATACATGCTGCTTTGAATGAAAATCAAGTGCTAATTCAGTGGACACAGAGGTCTTGTTTTATTTATTCACACAAAGATTTCAGAGTAGCTTGCACTTTGTTCCTATGTGGCCTCCAAGGAAGTAGCCTGTGAGGGCTACTCCATTTCCTCTACGGGATTCTTGCCCACAATAGTAGATATGATAATCGTCTGAATTGAATTCACCCATTCCCATCCATTTTAGTTCACTGGTGCCCAGGATGTCGATGTTTATTCTTGCCATCTCCTGTTTGACCACATCCAGCTTACCAAGGTTCATAGATCTTATATTCCAGGTTCCTATGCAGTACAGTATTTTTCTTTGTAGCATCGGACTTTCCTTTCACTTCCAGGTGTGCCCTTTCGTCTTTGGCCCAACAACTTCATTAGCTCTTGAGCTACTTGTTCTTGTCCTCTGCTCTTCCTCAGTAACATGTTGGACGCCTTCTGACCTGAGGCGTTCATCTTTCAGCGTCATAACTTTTAGCCTTTTTTTCTGTCCATGGAGTTTTCTTGGCAAAGATACTGGAGTGGCTTGCCAGTTCTTGCTCCAGGTGGATAGCGTTTAGTCAGAACTCTCCACTATGTCCTGTCCGTCTTGGGTGTCCCTGCATGGCATAGCCCATAGCTTCTCTGAATTACTCAAGCCCCTTTGCCATGACAAGGCAGCAATCCGTGAAGGGGGGGACTGCATTACAGTACCCATTTTTAACTTAAATTAAAAAATACTATTTCCTCAGTTTTACAGCAGTGGGATCAGTGAAGCTTTTATAAAGCATACCACATAGTACTGGATATTGTGCATCGGAATCTTTAGGGTGTAAAATATGGAAGAAGAAAACAATCCTGCCAAATACTTTTTGTGAGATGTAGAAACAGACAGGTGTACATATACATTTTTTCCTGAAGATTTTACACCTAGCTATACAGTATTAAAAGCAAGTACATAAAATATGGAACCTCCCCTTTATCACTAAGTTGAACATAACTAACACAGATAAGGAAAAAAATATTTTCCACTTCAGCCTTTATAAACTGTTGGCTCAGATTTCAATTATTTCTTATCCACACTGGGAATGGGGAAGTGGTGGGTGGGAAGGAGACACCAAGATGTTTTGATTTTTAAATGTTTTTATTTTTTTGAACAGATAGTAGGTATGGGAGCTGCTTTTGGCCTATCCCTGCCAAGGGATCTCTGTGGCTTATAGTGCCCTTTGTCTGTTTCAGTAGATAACACCAGCTGCTACTTGGACAGAGGTTTCTGGGTCATAATGATCCATGCTTGGGAATCTCCCATTTAGATTATTGCAATGTACTGTAAGTGGGAATACTTTCTTAAAATAGTACAAAAACTGCAGCTGGCACAGAACAAGGACAGAAGATTATTAACTGAAAGTAGGCACTTTGAAGACTTCCAGGAACAATCTGCTGGCTTTATTTTTTAAAGCCTGCAATAACATGGGAACAGGTTGTATTTTCCTTATATATAATAATAATCATGTACTGTACCATCGAGTCAGTCCTTGATTTATGGTGAGCCTTTCCAGGGCTTTCTGGGTAGAGAATACACAGTATAGTTTACCATTCCCTTCTGGGGGACCCTGGGATTGTACACACAGGCAGGCTCTACTTGCAGGAGACACGATGGAGCATCGAACTCCCAACCTGTTTTTACAGCCAGATACCAAAACTATCCAGCCAGCTTTTGTTATATATATCTCTGCAAAAAAATGTTCTCTCCACTGAGCATCATCTCCAGTGAAGGAAACAATTCCAGTAACCTCTAGGACAAGGGCATTTTTGTACAGCACTGTGATCATATAATAGCTTTCCCATATATAGGTTTAGCTTTACAAGTTTGTGGTTCTTTGAGCACAAGGTGAAGACCTTTTAAATTATATTTTTTGGCCAGATCCTCTTGTTTAAAATCCACATTTTAATTATAGTGCTAGTTTTTAATGAACAGTTGTGACTGCAGTTTTTATGTTTTGAGAAGTACTCTTAGAACCTGGGCTACAGACTCCCAAACCTATTTAGTAAATGAACAGAAATAAGAAGGTGGGGATACATAATTCTCCATGCTGGGCAATACATCCTATCCCTCTGCAGCCTTCTGAGCAATCCTATCCTGTCTGTGGGACAAAATAATCTAATTTTTTCTCCTGCTAATAGCATCTTAGCCTTCTTAAACTACAAAGAGCCATATCAATCTGAGCATCACAGATTTTTAAGCATTTTTTGTTTTAACTCTGATCCACTGCAAATCCTTTCCGTGGGTGACAGACATGCTACATTTAAATTCCACTATTTGCAGCTTATAAAACCATAGTAGTCCTGCCTGTAGTGATAAGATATGGCAGATGCAATTAGCATGCTGATCAGCATAAAGGGGTGCCGTTCTTTCATACTGTTCCATAAGGGCCATTACTATTATCTCATTCCTCCCAGTTGGCACAGCCAGCAGCGAGACACACTGAGAGGGAATAAAACACATGCCTGATCATTGCATGAAGAGGAGTAGCTCCCACTAGATACAGTCACTGAGGTAAAGGGCATACAAACCACATTAATGGTGTGATGTGCTGTACACGGAAAAAGCCAGATCCAAGAAAAAGAAACAGGTCAGTCAGTGGTTAGAAGAGAAAAATGCTACCATTACATCCACAGTGTTCACAGACTCTTACTGTTAGACAGCAAGTACCTTAATGAATGTTTCCATATTGCCGTTAAAGAGTTTATGATTATACACTGAGAGAGGCCTAGGTTTCCTCATTTTCTGTGGTTTAGGGGGAAGACATGGGGGCCTGGGGAAAATGGAACAAAAGAGACCAACAAAACATCAATGTGAATACATTGGCAGGGGGGGAATCTCAATGAGCAGACGATAGATAGATAGATAGATAGATAGATAGATAGATAGATAGATAGATAGATAGATAGATAGATAGATAGATAGATAGATAGATAGATAGATAGATAGATAGATAGATAGATAGATAGATACTTGGCAGAAAAATATGCAAGAATATTTGGTATTTTATGCTAAAATAAATGAGGGAGGGAGAGCCTCTGTAAAGAAAAATGCACAGACTTAATCATTCTGTAGGGATATTATAACTTTGATATCTTTTTAAAAGATGATCTTAAAACCAAGTGGTGTGAGAAATTTAGAATAAGCATTCATGTTGAAGCTTAAAGTTACATTGTCAGCAACCTACTGAGAAAGGATATTTTAATGCTGTTTTATTACAGACATCAAAAATATTTGTTTTTTAAAATGTAACCCACTGTGAGAAGGATTAAAAAATATTGTTTGAAATCCCGTTGGTATACATGTTATGCCATGGAAGCCAGATGGTGTTATCCTCCGTCAATGGATATGTTTAATTTAATTTAAAAATACCGACCCCACCCCACCCCTTTTAGGTTACAAGAATACCCAGGGATTCATTTTTCCATTTGGAAAGCCTGTAGCAATCTCAGGACAGGTAGATAAGTCTTTAATATTGCAAAATCACTGCCATGATCACTTCCAGTGGTCCTAATCCAGACCTGGGACCACCTGTGGGTTTCTTCCACAATCCCAAAGCTCCCAAAGGTTTCCTAAGGGGGAAAGGGATCTCCAGGGAGACTTGTAACCTGAAGGGGATAGGAAGTTTTAATTTAATTTAATTAAAGATATCCATCACCAATGATGATCTCATTCAGCTCGTGCAGCATAAATTTACGCCAAGAGGATTTCAGCCATTGATTATGTGACAGGATATATATTAAACATCAAAAGAGAAAATCAGGAATATTGTTAGGCATGAATAGATCTTTTCTTCTCAGAAGCAGTTCTGAGAACTCCTGCTAGAATCCATGCCTCCATACTACAATGCTTCTGTGTATTTTTAAATTCCGCATCCGTTGTTAGATAATGAAACTCATTGCACCCTAAGGGCCTTACAGTCATTTTTGGATGCATTCAGGTATATTTAGACTAGTGCAAATATATAATGAAATTCATTTGTAGCTAATGAGAAAAGCATTTTTTTTTCACAGAACATGGACAGAGTTCCTACTCCATACCTCTGAAGATGCCAGCCACAGAGACTGGCGAAATGTCAGGAAGAACAACCTTCAGAACACAGCCAAAGAGCCCGAAAAACCCACAAACAACCATCAATTTTTTTCACAATTTCTAGTGACCAACATGATCTGTACCATACTATGCCCATGTGCTTTGCTAGGATGAAAAGTTATTTTATAAAAGCCATTAATCCCAGCATTGACAAAATCACTTTGTTCATTTCTTTGTTAATACAACACACTTGAAATTTTGAAATCCCTCCCAGGATCTTGACAAGCTACCAAGGAACCTAACAAGTTGTATATAAAGTGGAAACTGGTCGCCAGCCAGCCTGGTAGTTTTTAGTTAGAAACAATTTCAGAGGGCATAATTGCTGACAGCTCCATGAGACTTGATCCTAAACTGGTAACAACTGGTGATGTCTAATTTTTATGTTCTTACCATTAAAGTTTAAAATTGGTTACAATTTGAAACATAGTAGGACAGGGAAGGGATTATTGTGGCAGTAGTGGAAAGTGAAGTGCAACTGTGTTTACTAGAAGAGGCCAAAAACCTTGAGGAGAGAAGAAAAGGCAGCATGCAGGTACCGTGTGTTTTAATTTTTCTCCACTAAACATTGGTGAGATGGGACGTATTTTCTTTACTGAGGTCAACCTTGTTTTAGAAAAGTTTTATCCGTATTTCACTCATTAAAGGTTTTTCTCTCCTCTCGGGCTCTCCTCTTCCCTCCATTCCGCTCATTCAATTCTTCCACTAGTAGGCATCCATGAGCCCTTTCTACTGTTGCCAAGTGAACTTTTCCCTGCTACACTGAATCAAGTTTTACTTTTCCAATTTCTGTCAATGCTTTTCTTTTGTCAGACTCCCAGGCCCTATTTAATCTTTCTTAACTCCCTCTTATTCCTCCCAAGATTTCCATCCCCTCTCCTTACTCTCTCCTTCCCCTAAGCATCCAACATTTTTTTTCAGATTTGTTTTTTTACTTCTTCCCCAAACCCAAATGTTATACTATCTAAGCCTGCAGAAGGGTTCATGGAGAACTCAAAAGCTCACTTTGTTTTTAAGTTGTAGAGACACAATGAAAGTATTACTTAACCCAAAAATTCATATATCACAAGCTATTTTCACCTGCAGAAATCCAATTTTGTTAAAAAAAATCCTGATACCCATCTCATCCACTTTCTACTACTAAAAGGGAATAATGTACCAGACACCATGCATCAAAAAGCATTATGGGGCTAATTCTAGATTCATTTGAGCAGATTTACACTCAATGTTCACCCCTGAACAAATAAACCTAGTAAATAGGGGAGTGCTGGCAGTTTGACTAGGAAGGCTGGCCTGTATCATAAGTGGCTGAACACTCTCTGAACCATCCACAGAGACTATGCTGTATACTGTGCTGATACAGCAATATTTATGATTTAAGGGCGAGTCAGCTGAAAGCTACACTGCAGCAGAAACAAGGGCCCATTTTGGCATCTTTCCAATTAATCGATTCAGGCAATGCAAACATGAGCAGGCCACTGATGTGTGTGTGGGGGGGGAGATATGTCATTCACTGTTGCTCTCCACAACTCATGCTTGGAACATTTTTACCATATAGATATGGCAGGTACAGGCACACATCTGCTGGCAGTAGATGCAGCTAAATCCAGACCCACATCTTTTGCAGAAGTATACCAACAGAAGAGAAAAATGAAAAGACACAATGCACACTTACCTGGTGGTCCCACATTCAGCTCTTTCACCTGGTGGGAGGGGGGGGAAAGCACAGATCACTTTCACTTCATTTACATATGAATGCTACTATAATTTTCAAGGAACTGTTCTAAATGGCTAGAAATGAATTATATTCAGCAAACTGGGAAGGCAGTAGGTCTGTAAATGTGATACGTCATATAAAAGTCCCCCCCATTACTACACTACACAGCTTAAGTGACAAGTAGCAAATCATATCCCATAGTTGACATGGGGGCTTCCCTGCTCAACTTCCCTGCCCCACTCAGTCATTCCAGGAGGAAGTCTGCAGATACAATGTTTTGTTTTTCATAATCTTGACAGTCAGCTCCAGCAAGGCTTGCTACGTATTTCCAGCAGTGTTGGAATCCTCATGCTTAGGGAAGGGCTGTTTACCCTCTCCTCAGAAGAACCTGAAGAAGGAGATGGCTGCCTACTGCAAAAAAGTAAAATGGGGATTTCCTCTCCCCCCCCCTTTATTATATGCAGTGATGCAGGGTGGGAGTTTTCCAGAATGTGTTAACTGCGGACAGAGAAGGAATAAGAGTCACTTCTCACACTCTGCCCAAATCAGCCTCACTGAAACTAGAGAAAGGAAAAAGGCTTTGCATTAAAGTCAAACATGTAGATTGGCTCCTGAGTAAAATGGTTTCTGAAGTAAGAGCAGACTATCAGTTTCTCTGGGCCAGTACTCTAACGTGACTCTCTAAAACATAACAAGATGCTTTCAAATACAAATGCTGAGGGTTGCACCCTAGTTCGTATACAACTCAAAGCATGTGATTTTCTACCACCCTTTTTCAGGCTCTCTCCACAAAAATCCCCCCCAGAGTCCTCTTTGCAGACAAGGTAGAGGCAACCTCCCTTAACAAAGACATCATTCAACATGACAGGCTATTCATGTATTTTTTAAAAATAAAGAACAGACCTTTCAGTTCAGCCATGTCTAGTTATATTTATTCTTTCCTCATGTTGTCTCTTCCATTTTGTATGTTTCATTTGGGAAACAAACAGCTATAAAAATCACTAAGAAAAATATTCAGAACAAAAGAAAATCACCATAAATAGCAGGTTTTGGCCCTTTGATGGACTATAACTCCCATAGTTCCTCAAGCAGGAATATGGCTGGTAGCTAGGTTTACAGAGGGATTTTGGGAACTGTGGGAAGTTTTCCAGGCTATGGATTAATCCAGCAATGAAATATATCATGAGAAGCTGTTGCCAGAATCCTTAAACAATCTTAAAGCAATACTTAAGCATCTGTAAGAAATGGCTGCTGACACAGTGCCAGAAACACTCAAGGACTCAGACATTCATCCTTTCATGACTCATCTCTACAAAGCGGAAGACTTCCAGATCACATAACAAGAGAAGGCACTTATTAAGAGAATTCCAAAACTGGCTGAGATGAAACCATGTAAACACACTGCCATCTCTGATTAGCTAACAACTACACTGAAACATATAAAGAAGGAAACAACTTGAAAGCTTGTCTACAAGCTTGCATGGAAAAATGTCATATTCCTTGCCTAGCATATCTAGCCCAACTGGAAAATCCAGACTGCAATCAAGACAGCACAGATGATATCACAAAGGAGCTGGGGCAGAATATAAGCAAACATTAAATCAAGATTAGATTGAGAAAATTCATAAAGGGGAAGGAAAGAGTTGCTATAAAGGCAGATGGCAAGACTTGAAGATGGGTATGGTGCTGGTGCTTGTAGAGCTTGATGTCACCGTGAAGGAACAGGGAGAGCGACAACAAGTCTGGGTTTTGTACGAAAAGGAACAAGTAGCCCATGAAGGAAGATGCAAGAAAGGAGAGGGTGTTTATTTAGAAACACATACAGGGAAAAGCTAGGATGAGAGATGCTAGTCAAGAGAAACTAATCCAGATTTTGATTGTTATATCCAACTGACCACATACAGCTCCACATAAAGGCTTTTAACTGAAATAATATCAGCTGTGGGTCTGATGGCAATTTTAGAATATATATTTTAATTGCATTTTAATTATTTTGCCCTTTTATTTTGCCTTTTTATTGTATTTTAAATGCTGTAAGCCCCCCAGAGACCTTTGGGTAGTGTGGGCGGCATACAAGTTAAACAAACAAAATTTAAGCTACTGTATTTGCAGTCTTAGCAGTAATACCTTCCTTCTCAGAACTGCCGTAGCATTTTTACTCAGCAAGAAAAAACTGACAAAGCATCCAACACATCATATGTTGATTGATGGCGTTGTCCTAGCAGTGTCATTATCTCAAAGCCTGGCATCAGTAGGAAGAGCCCAAGTGGGTCAGGTTTCAACTAACTGCCAGGTCCACCTCCTTTCATATGTCAAAACCTGTACATCAGGGAACAGTTGGACTTGGATCTGTTTGGGAGAGCGCAGTGATAGATTATGCCCAATGAGACCGTCCTCAACATTAATGTGAAATGTGGGCCTGACCATAAGAGAGAGTCACGTGCTTACCAGTTCTGTGGCACACAGTGACATTTCTTAGACAAAACAGAAAACATTAACAACTTTTCCCAGATGCTATATTTGATTATTTGAAATGTTGTTCAACTTAAAGAAATGGGAAATATCCACGGTTCTCATTGATGAGTCAGTTTTCAAATCATATAAACATGGAGAGGGAAATATCTGGAGGATTAAAACCAATTAAAAGTAATTAAACTTTATATGCCAATATCTGTGTTGCAAGACCTCTGATTTTAAAATGGAATCGAAGGCAGCAGATTCTAAGCTAAAAAATGCACCTATCTCCAGGACATAGAAAATAAAACTGGGCAATAAATCACAAGAAAGCTTGTTAACTATGATCTCTAGATTAAGAAATAGCCTCTTGCTTTAAGCATATTAAGGACCCACAGAGAAAAACTATTAAATTATGTTCTCATTTAGCCAAGTCAGCCTTGTGCCAATTTGCATCTATGGATGAAAATCCTTGATGATTGTTGTGTGGATGCAGTGTAAAGCCTTGCTATATTGATCAGTGGAATTCCTGAATGCATATGTATCTTATCTCTCTGTATTTATAATTCTTTCACTTGTCCACACCTCTCCCCAACCAATCTCTAAACAATATCTTTTCTATGGCTTTGGGGATCCAGGAGTCAGTCAGTTTTTCTAAGAAGAAAAAAAGGGGAGGAATTCTATTGTTCCAGTAAAATTCGGAGGAATAAAGGCCTGCTGTACCACGATTCTAGAACTCTAGAATATTGGAATAACAAAATGTCACTCCAAATTATTGGAACTATGAAGACAACAAGCTATAGGATCTGCAAACACCACTTCGATACTTACAAATTGTAATATATATACATTCAGATGTGAGGATATTATAATAGAGTTATCTTGCTCAGCTGGAAAGCTCGTCAATTGTTTGAAATGATTATGGTAAACTATTGTTCAAATCTCAATTTTAAAAGCACTTTCCTTTTCAGGGCTATTTTTTTCTACATATCCCCTTAATTATTTTAATTCTCTATATACACAACATTTCAGACCCTGACACTCCCACAAGAAAACAAAAAGGAAATAGACATCATGCTAGCTCAGTCCCAGTTTGCCTGGTAGACTTGCCAACAACAAATTCATAGAGACTGAATCTCAGAAATCACTACTTGCAGAAAACTGAGAGACTTAAACAAGCTTTTTTTGAAAGGGAGCATGTATAAATGTATGAAAAATTGCCATGTAATCTCACTCTTACAGCTGAAGAAGTAGACTTGATCCATGAAAACCCACATTAAATTATAGCAGTTAGTATTTGAGGTGCCACAATGCTTTTGTCTTTTTTAAATTCTTCTTTTGTTTTTGCCTGATATCCCATAAGCTTTCTATTCTCTTCTGAGCAAACTGGGAGGAGGTGACAGTAGTATTTAACATGCTAATGCTGGTCATGGATAGAAGAATGGTTCCCAGGCTGCCACTGAAAGAAAGTGGAACAGGTGTTCATATTTTTAACACTGCCATTTTTGTGACATCAGTTCTTGGCTCTTGTGAAGCATCTTTTTGAAGTCTTTAGGGTGCAGCTCTTTAAAACTTTTTACCATTTGTAACTCATTCAATTCCATATCAAAGTATAATTGGGCAATCTGATGTAAACACAAGAATGGACAAATGAGGGGGCAGGACCTTCTCAGTGCTGGGATCTGCCACCGTGCCGAACCCTTTACCCAAAGAGGCTGACCAGCCTTAATATTTAGAGCTCAGAATTAATTTTAGACTCTCAAAGTAGAAAACCACCTTTGCACTGAGGAAGCCGAGGCTTCACAAGTACATCTGCCGAAACCGCTGAGTGCTCCAGCACAACAAAGGCCTGGCTGCAGTGCTAACCCCTAACAAAGCCTCCCCTCAATCTCACACCCCTCTTGTGGGAGGGATGGCAACTGAAGCAAATGAAGTTTCCTAGCAACTGGATCTACACACGGAACACGGACCATATACTCTACCGTATATAGTTCCCAAAGCATTTTAATCTAAATAAGGTCACAAGGCTTCCTTGTAAATTTAGCTCCTCCTCTGCAAACAGCACAAGGCTTGTTCAGCGAGACATCAGTCAAGCCACTGTCTAATTTCAACACCACTATACAAGTAAGTGATAAAATACCAAATAAGCCATCAGATTTAAACATCTTTATCATTTTTAATGCCACTCATTTAATGGATTTATTTTTGAGAAAAACTTGATAAAACCTACTGTTTCAGACAAAAACTCTCAGACACCAGTATACCGTTCCTGGAGCTGATATACTTGGCTTTTGGTTTAAAACACAAGAACTCACAAGCTTCTGGGAGAAAACATCTTAGTGAATTCACCTTTATAGTCACCTGTTTGTATCCACAAATGCTAAAGATCTTTACAAAAATCTTTTATTTACCAAATTAAATGGATAATTGCTAACAAGAACACAGCGGCCATGATACAAAGGAGCCTGTCCACAGGGCTCAATGTTTTCATTTCTCTTTTTTACTAAACAAAGAGCAGCCACGTACATCCCCTTGGCAGAAAAACAAAACTAATGTGGTTCATCCCTAACACTGGGATGTCTGCCTTATGCCTTCAAGGAAGCCAATCAATGAAGCAAGGCATTCAAACACCAGCCTCAGCCAAAATTAATGGTAAAGCGAGCAAAGGTTTTCTGTCTGTCTGTCTATTAAAGTTCAATAAGAGGCCAACAGCAGGTGAGATTTTTAAGAAGACTAAGATCTAGTTTGCAATCCTGTTGTGAAGGGAAATGCAGTCTTTTTGTTCAGACATGCTGACGACTTACCTTCTCCCAGAGTCTGCTTCAGTAAGTCATGTTTTGCCTGCAGCTTTGTAATAAGATTACTGCCATTCAAATACTCTTTGAACTTCTGAAAGGAGAAAGATACACATAAAAACATAAACAAAGTGGGCACAGACTCTTGGTAAAACATATTTTGAGATACACATATTTCCCCTATTGTGCTCCTGACTACCTGCAGGAAACAATGGAAATACTGTAAGCCTTAATTAACTTTACTACAGTTATATACATAAAAAAAGCTTGACCAAAGATGTCTTTCTCATTTGGGTTTTTACTTTTTCCACAATTAAATATCTGCTTTTCTTAGACCAGATACCTTTGTGTTGTACCATGTGCTCGAGGTCAGGGCCTGAGATCACAAGGAACTCAGGACAACAGTTCAAAGAAAGCTTTCTTTTGTCAGGCTCCTGGGAATGCCCTCAACAAGCAAAGGAGCTTTTTTTCCTCCTACAGAAAGAACTCTATTTTTGTACAAACACTGATAAAGCAGAGGAAAAAAATCTCCCTGCATGAGGTCTCCTGGCTTGACTGATCAGATGTGTCCATGCACTTGTGGAACTGATCTGAGAATAACTTTTCTTTTCACATTGCCTCATGCTCAACAATAATGCTCTAGAGGCAAATGAATTCAGAGATGCCAAGAACACAGCAGGAAGAGGGAGATACAAAAATTGGAAGACTTTACACATAATGCAAGCTTAAAACTTCAGAATGAAAATCACACAGAAAACCATCAGAATTTAAGAGACAGTGCTTGCTACAATGCTGTGGAGTTATTAATATTTATTTATTATTGTGACATTAGTGAATTTATTAGTGTTTATTATTTGTGACATTTATATGCTCCTCCAATGAGCTCATGGTGGCTCTATGCCTTTCCTCTTTATCTTTACAACAAATCCGTGACTAGGGATGGAAATCTTTGCTGGTCTTGTACTCAGGAATGATACCTAAGACCAGTTACATCCTTCTACTTCCCAATGAGAACAGGACTTTACAGGCACTCTTGATACAGTTCCCATAGTTATAAGAACAATATTACTGCAAGGTTTTTGCACATGCTGCACAATTTGTGCAAAATCCCACAATATGCAATTTGAAATTGTGCAGTTTGTGTAAAAGTAGGCAAACTGAACCTTATTTTATGGACAATTAAAAATCTGGAGTATGGTTTTGTCTTTCTCAACAAGCAATCAATCATTTTTGCTTGCTCTGTGTGTGTGCTTGTGTGTGCTTTTGCACTTCAAGAGGAACAGTTTAATTTTATATTGGTGCAAGTTTGGGGGGACAATAAAAAACAGAAATAGCTCCTCATCTTGTTCTCAGTTGCAGGCAAGGAACCTTGTAGTGCTTTCAAGTTCCTTGTAGAGATGTTGTCCTGACTCTAAACAGTTTACATTGACAAGAACAAGGAATTTAAAGAATTGGAATCACCACACAATCTAATAATAAAAAATCTTGGCCTTCATCACTGACTACCAAACTTTATTGGGCGCACGGACAGTGGGGTGGGGTCTCCACTGGATCAACTTTTCACGAAGGTTGTCTGCAACATTTATTAATTATGTCCAGCCGTTATGACATTTTTAAAAACCACATTGTGCTCAAGAGAAATGGAATATTATCCTTACAGTGAAATAGAACATTTCAGTTTCTTGTTGGTTGGCTCTCCTCTTGGCAATATTTATTTTACTCATGTAAGTTTCTGAAGCAGCTGATTTGACAGACTCAGTGGAGCGACTATGCTGGAAGGCATCTGAGACATCAAAATCTTCCACAGTCAGCATGTCTTGCAATGTCTGCATAGTAGCATCCAGTGTTTTTCGCACCTGTGAAATTGTAGGCAGAGAAGATTGTGGCAGAAAAAACACAGTTATTTCATAATAAGTCCATGCCTTTTCATTTGCTTTTTTAAAAAAATCTGAATTTTACCTAGAAGGAAGAAGGCATAGGAAATTATAATTTAGACTCCCTAGATTTTCCAGGAATTTTTCCTAAATCTGTATGGATATACAGGGAAACTATCCTGAGGCTCTCTTCAAGTCATTTTTAAAAAAATACGGAAAATACCCAATAGCGCACTTCCATTGGAACCAGTCATCTCAATTCCTTATACCCCATAATAACCTGCAGTTTTTGCACCTTTTTTTCAATAGGAGAAAGACTGTTCCAATTCTGCTGGTAACAGTTACCAAATCTGCCCAGCTTCATAAACCTATTGTTCAGTACTACTCCTAGGACACACTCAGATGTTCTCTTTGCTCCCTAGGATTGTATTCCAGGTAGAATTTGTTAAAGAGAAACCTTATCTGTTTTGAATATTCGATCACCCTGACCTCACAAAATTATCTGAACAAGTCTTACATGATAAGTGGCCTCACATTTACATGACATACATCCATACACATTTACATGACATACATACATCTAGTCGTGCTGGCCACATGACCACATAAAAACTGTCTTTGGACAAACGCTGGCTCTATGGCCTGGAAATGGGGACGAGCACCGTGCCCTAGAGTCGAACACGACTGGAGTAAATGTCAAGAGGAACCTTCACCTTTACCTTTACACGCATATACATATGTCACTGTGGGGGAAACAAGGTAAGCCAACACCAGGATCTCCACTCAGACAAATCTGTTCTGGATTCTAGAGCTGAAAAAGCTGTCTTAAATGAACATGTTATACGTGATAACAGTTTCAAAGATTAGTTACACAGAATCATTAGGGTAACTGAGTTGATACAATTGTTTACTTAAAGATTAAAGAATGCATATACATATGTCACTGTGGGTAAAACAAGGTAAGCCAACACCAGGATCTCCACTCAGACAAATCTGTTCTGGATTCTAGAGCTGAAAAAGCTGTCTTAAATGAACATGTTATACGTGATAACAGTTTCAAAGATTAGTTACACAGAATCATTAGGGTAACTGAGTTGATACAATTGTTTACTTAAAGATTAAAGAAAAATTACAGCTCTCACCTCTTCATTTTCTATTTTGAGTGTAGCAAGTCTAGACTGCAGCTGGTGATAGCGCATGAGCAACTCTGTCTGAACCGGCTGTTGGGCACTCACTTGACATACCTGAAGCAACAACAGATATATTAATGCTAATTCAAGATAAGTCAGGTTATTTGACAGCTATCGATTAGCAGCAAAGAAAACGCATCCATACATTAGGGTGCCTCACTGGAAATGAAAAAGAGGGAATTGGAAACTTGATTTTTAACTAGCTGTGTGGTTTTTCTGTTGACTCTTATTCATTCTTTAAATATATATCCCTGGCATGCTCCCCCACCGCTTCGTGCATGCGCCTGAGAGCGAGCACGCACCCACGCAAGCACGGGGGTGGGGGGTGCCCCGCCTTCCTCAGAGGCTCAGCTGGTCCAGGGTCCCAAAAAGGTTGGGGGACCACTGTTCTAAACCACGTGTCTTGTCATTTATTTTATTGGTTTATTTTAATAAAGGGTTCCAGTTTTCGGTGAATTGGCTATGCCTTATTAGTTGACTATGCCTTAGTTACATACCTCATCCCCCATATGAGGCTGGTATTCAAACTTCAGAGGAGGACAGAAGACCTGGTTGCACATATCCATGACTATGTGTTTGTCACTTCGTGCATCCAGGTTGTCTACAGCATTCTCAATGATGTCCAGCCCCTCATGGCGTGAGGTTTCTAGGTTGTACTCAGCAGAAAGGTATGTTCTGAATGTACGTGCCAAGCTGGCATGGAATCCTAGGTCACAGCACTAAAGGAAAAGAGAAAATGAGGCATGAGTAAACTAGAAAAGCCATTAACCTACTCCAAAATATGGTCATGTCAGCACCTTGCACCAGAATAACTCCCAATGTATAACTTTAGATGAATCATTTCCAGTTGCTACTAGGGGAAACCACATGCACATATACATTTAAGTGTAAATATAAATATGTATTTCTAGATTTAAAAGAGGTAGCCATGATAGTCTGTTGTAGCATTTCAAGGCAAAACAAAAGAAAAACAAAAAACAAAAAAAAACAAAAATGCTGTGGCACCTTAAATCCTCACCTACTATACAGTATTTTAACCAGAATTGCATCCTTCATCAATAGATATACAGAATATGTCCCTGTTAACTTTCCCCAGGTTGTTCACGATGGAGCAGCTTCCCAATTTTTGGGGGGAAATCTGAATTTTTATTTTAATCACACATAAACCAAAACTTCTGTTTCACACAAACACAAAATGCTACACTAACACAAATTTCCAAAATTACTTTTCAATAAGGGAGAGTTGGTTTAACTGAGGCGACATTAACAAGAGAATGGTTTGTGCCCTAATAAAATAATGTGGTAGTCTGCCCAAATCAACAAGGAAATATATTGATAGCTGGTATGTGAGTGGGAGGGAGGGAGGGAAGGAAGGAAAGAAGGAAAGGTAGTCTTAACTATCTTAACAACATGGATGTTCCAACTCAGAAGAGAAGAAAAAGAAATGGTGAATCCTGGTTTTTAATGTAAACATTGTCCAATTTAAAATTAAGTGCACAAATTGGTATGAGCTAAAGGCTATGAAAAATTGTATGTGTGCTACTGGTGATACATTGGCCTATCTCCCGTTCAATATTTACACATGCAGAATTCCAGTGGTGAAACCAGTCAGAGCAACCTGATGCTGCCTATCACATGTGTTTAGTTGTGCACAACCTTCTACTCTTCACATCACAAAGGCAGCATCTGTGGTTGGAGCTGCACAGGTGTAAATGCTGATGAGAATAAAAGTGTTGTCACCAACTTCAGTATAAGGATATGAAAATTAGAGTTTAATTCAGAGTTTTGGTCTGAGATTTGCTTCAACTTGGCCTGATCCCGGCTTTTAGATTCTTTCAGGACATAGGATGAAAAGAGGGATTAGTACATGGAGGTAGCTGACACTGTAATATAAAACAATAAGTACTTTAACAGCAACATGTCAGGATCCCTAAGATAGTGATAATCACAACATCAGTAACAGCAAATGCCATGTTCTATTTATATGTTTTGGGTATAGCAGCAATTGGAGGGAGGCCCTCCTGTTCAAATTTATTCACATACTATATATATATTATGTATTACAAATCTCATGCTTTCCTAAGCAAAACAACCCTGTTGCAACCACCTGCTACCACTCCTTTGGGGAGGGAAGGAACTGCCTTACCCTTCTGGTCATTTTGGCCAGCCTGTTCTGCCTCTTTCCCAGCTTTCCAATAGCCTTCTAAGGCTGTGCTGGGTAGAATTGTACATACTACTCCAAGTGGGGTCACACTATAAATTGCACAAAGGCACAATATGGGCCGCGTTATTTTTGACTCCTTTCCTGATGACCCTGCACATAGAAGTTGCCCTTCTCACAGCAACTACAAATTAGGTTGGTGTTTTCATCATGGCATCCGACATAACCACAGAATCTTTCTTCTAGATCAAATCCCCCAGTGCGTATGTCAAGAATGGGTAAAGGGTAGTCCTAGAGCAGCATGCAGCTCTTTCCTCAAGGTTGTTTTTGTGGCCAGGCATTCTCCTGGTCTCCTCTGTTCTCTGCAGCTCCTTGAAGCCTACAATTATGCAAAAATGCCAAAATACTAGGAAATACCAGTTAAGCACAGAATAAGACAAGGAGTCTTAATGAGTCCAAAAGTGTTTATAACAACATGGGGGAAGGTATTTAAAAGTTTCATTTGGGAACATATAGGAATTAATATCAATGGGAGGCGACTCAAGGACCTTAGACTGATGTCTATGATAGTCATAGCAGGTAACTCTGTCAACCTACAAAGTAAGTTGGAAGAATTCAAAACTGAATCAGAGGGAAATGGTTTAAAACTAAATAAAACAAAAAACTAAGTCCTATCAATATGAAAATACAAATGTTATACTCAATGGATATTGTATCAAATATGTTCAAGAACGTATTTATCTGAGACAGGTAACAGAGTGTGGCAAATGTCAGGAGGTAGAAGTACAGAGACGAACAACACTGTGGTCAGCTTTCAGCAAACAAAGAAAAAAATCTTAAAAACCAAAAAAGTTCCTTTAAAATTAAAAAGAGGATCGGAAGAGAAAGACCACATACTAGACAGATGGATAATTTTAAAAGACCAGCAGGATTGGCATGAACTGGAATATAACAAAACAGAAATTTGTGGAAACAAAAAGTGGAGGCCTATATCCAACACTGCATGTCAATGGGCCAATAAAGAAGAAGAAAAAACCATCAGCAACACCAGCCTACAGAAGTACTGATCTACCTCCTAAATAGGTATTTTCTTCAAAAGTAGAAGTAGACTTCTATCCTAGTGTCCTTTTCAGCAGATTTTACCAGTCTGGCCTCATATAGGAAAAAAAAGTTTGTAATATAATATTAGTTAAACAAAATGGCAATTTTTTCCATTTCCAGTGGGGCCTGATACTGTAGTCTACAGGAGCCAGTGGAAGTCACACCATACATGTTAAACAGAGTTATAACACAGTGCTGAAATCCAGTGGCGAGTCACAATTAGAGCAAGCTCACTGAATCGGTAGAACATATGGAGGAGTTGACTCACCAAATCCCTACTAATTCAATGGATGTACTCTAATTGTGACTTTCAATTGGGTTTCAGCCAATGTATGTTTATCATTAACTAGCAACATTTATAGAAGTCCAGTAAAGCTATAAGTGGGACCACTCTGTTACATACAGCACTGATGTTACCTGTCTGTCATGGGTTTGGAGGGAAAGTTCCATCCTATGGGGAGTGGAAGGCGGGACATCAGGAGGAGGGGCTGTACTGTATATAAATGAGAAGCCTGTGTGGTGAAGAGACACACTGTGAGACACTGGGTTGTGACGAAGCAGCAGCTGGGAAGAAGAAGCTGTTGTGGGAGTCTGTGTGTCAGACAGGGTACTTCTGTGTGTCAGAGTACCAACCTGATAGGTTCAGGTGTCTGTTGGTTAGCCAGAACTGATAGGTTCAGGGTCTGTGCTTCAAGTTAAGGGTTCTGGGTGAACCAAACTGTATGCTTGTATGAGTGAAACTAAGCCACGTTACTTTATTTTATTCACCTAATCATTTTATTATCCCTGTGTGTTGTATGTAAATAAACCTTATTCTTGTTATTGTTTAAAAATCCATCCCTGGTCTGTGTGACTTCTTACAGGGAATGGTTGGTGGCAGCTTAGTAACTGTGTGACATATCCCAGTAGGTCTGGGTTTGTCACACACTCAAACACAGAAGCAGGAAAATAAACTGTACAGTACTGCTGAATATAGAAGCCACACCTGCAAGCCACTCAATGAAACCACAACTGCCAAAACTGTGCCTGCTTGGAGCTAATGTCATACTTGCTTCTTGAAGGTGTGAAAAATAAAAGAAGGTGCAAACCATTATCCAAGCAGTCCATCATCAAGATACTGGTGTTGTACTTAATTTTAGCATCTGCCTCACAGTTGCATTTGGTGACAAAATGCTCCAAATTGAGCCATCTGTATTGCTTCCAGTAGCATGGGATCACAGCCAGTGCTCACCTGCATTTGTGGGGCAAGGAAGCAACTGGTGGCAGCCACACCTCTTCCCCCTCCAGATGTCAGTGCTTCTTTGAACACAAACCCTGCCACCAATTCCCCCCGCGCCAGTCTGTATGCATAAATGGATAGGTGGTGGGCAGATTCTGTTTCCAACCTCAAAAACCACACTTTTTTTTTGGACATCAACTCAGAGAATGCAACAGACAACATGGCCTCTAGCAAGGCTAGAGATCCCTGGGAGATCCCTGGAGTTGTCTAAAATGGTAAAATTTCCAAGCTCTCCTTTCTTCCAAAAGAGATGAACATGGAATCAGGGCCCAGAGTGAATAGAGCCAGCCAGAGAAAAGAGAAGATGCAAAATGGTCAGCTCAGGAAAGGGTAGCATTTGTAACCAACAGGAACATGGAAAACAGCCAATGCAAACTGGGAGTCAAACAGCAGCTGGAGGTCACGCCCAGTGTTTTTCATTTCCTCCATAGGGCAAGCAAACACTGGCAGAAATCTCCTATTCTGTTTTTGCCCTCTATATTCCCTTTTTCCTGGGCTGAGATGGGCTAAAGACCACGTGTTCCCTGACTGTAGGGCAATGAATGAATCTGTTCCAGGCATGTGCACCACAGGCCATTCAACTGAGAACTGTAAACAAAATAAATCTTGTTGTGACACTTTTCCCACTAGCTAGCCAATTTAGCAGAAACGTTTGCATCATAAAAGACAGATCAATAAAAGTTAGTGGTCTTACCTGCTTAATTAAAATTGGATAGTTGATGGCAACAGGTAAAAAGAGTTTTGTTTCCCAAATATATAACAGAAAGTTACCCACAACTTTCCAATTGTCCTTTGATCTCTATTTATTTTTAAGACATGTTCACAGAAGGATTTTATAACAAGATTTTTTTCTCTCACTTCTAACTCAAAGTGAAATGTTAAAACTCATAACTGCTATGAGCAATGCTTGCCAGATAAGACATCTATTCTTCACTGATTATTTGAAGAGACATCCCTCAATTCTGATTTAAGTCATACCAAAAAGAGATGCATTTATCTTACTCTGTGTTATGAGAAGCAGTGCAAGTACACATGTTCTCTTGCACACACCACTTTTGGGAGACTGCAAAAGCTAATGGTAATGAACTGCTCAGTAACTATAACTATGAAATCAGCATTTTAGATGGGATCCTGATCTGAGGCCTGTTTAAGCCTTCATGAAACCAGAATACTCCCAT